CACAGCACGCCGCCGGGAGTCCGACCCGTGCCGACCGGCACTGCACGCCGCCGGGAGTCCGACCCGTGCCGACCGTCACAGCGCCGCTGGGAGTCCGACCCGTGCCGACCGTCACAGCACGTCGCCGGGAGTCCGACCCGTGCCGACCGTCACAGCACGCCGCTGACACACATTCGGACCGTGATGACGAGCACCGCGCTGATCGCAGACGCTGATGTGGTGAAAACGGTCCAGTCTCACTGATGACCGCTCAATCTGCACCGGTGAACGCCCGGCTATGAATGGACGGTCACTTGATAAACTGGTGATCACATGGTCCGATGATGATGGGCTGTTATGACCCGAAACTTGAAAGGCTGGAGCCGTGTCTTGATTTCTCCACTTTGGAAGGTATCTTTGACCCAGTTTTTATTGAATGCTATAATCTGTTTTCGAAAAAAAATCACCAATTGGTTTGGCTTTAGTTATTTGAAATAGCAACCATTGATTTGATAAGTATATATTGGTTAATGTTAAAGGCACCGGTGTCGTATATTTTATTTATTTAGCTGGGTGCTGTAGATCGCCGGTTTAGTTAAGGAGCCGGCTGGCTGCTGTTATATGATGTTGCTTTGGGGAGCTGCCAACTGGCTTCTCGAATTTCTCGAATTTCTGCTGTCTTGCCGTCCTGTACTGCCTCTCTGGAAATTGAGTGGGGGCTGTCCTGTGGTTTGACTGCTCCTTGAGTTTGACTTTGCACTAGCAGTCTCAGAGCTGTTGCTCTTTAAGATGTCGGCTGTGGGTGCTGCTCCCGGCCCTGGCCGGTTTCCTGTCGCTGCTGCTCTGGTATGTGTCGGCTGTGGGCGCTGCTCTGAGATATGGCTGCTGTGTTTCCGCTGCTGCTCGCCGCCGGCCGTCGGCGCCGCCCGGTGTCGCAGCAGCCGCGGCCAGCTGGCAGCGTGCCGCGGCGGGCGGGCCGGCCGGCCCCGCAGGCCGCCAGTCCTCTCCAGGCAGCACCGCTCACTGACAGCCGGCCTGGTGGGACCGATTGATCCCACCGAGCCGCCGCTGCGACCGCCTCCCACCACCGGCGGCGTCTAGCCTCCGTCTCGGGCCCGGCGCCGGCGTCCGCCACCTGTTACGGCCGGAAGTGACCGGAACCGAGCCGCTGCCGGCGGCGGCTCCCAGCGCGGCGGCGGCAGACCAGCCGGCCCCGCCGCGCGCCGCGGACCACAGCCGCCTGTCGGCGCCGCCGCCCGTCCGGCCCGTGAGCCCGGCGGCACGCGCAGGCCGGGCGGAGCGGCGCGCTGGCTCAGATGGCCGCCCGGCTGATGAGCGACGTATGTCATTAGCGGCGGAGACGGCCTGCCGCCGCCCGTCAGGGATGATATCACGCAAACGGTCTGAGACCCGTCCGCGGCCGGCGCCCCGCCGACGACGGAGACGGAACGGAGACGAACGGAGACGGAACGGAGACGGAATGGAGACGGAACGGAGACGGAACGGAGACGGAACGGAGACGGAGACGGAGACGGAGACGGAGACGGAGACAGAGACAGAGACAGAGACAGAGACAGAGACAGAGACAGAGACAGAGACGGAGACGGAATGGGAACGGAGACGGAACGGAGACGGTACGGAGGTGGGACGGAGACGGGACGGAGACAGAACGGAGACAGATCTGAGACGGAGACGGATACATATTTGAGACGGAGACGGATACAGATTTGAGACGGAGACGGAGACGGAGACGGAACGGAGACGGTGACGGAGACGGAGACGGAACGGAGACAGATCTGAGACGGAACGAGACGAACGGAGTCAAAGAAGAGACGGATACATATCTGAGACGGAATGGAGACTGGACGGAGACATGTCTGGGAGGGAATGGAGACGGAGATGGAGACGGAGACGGAGACTGACGTGATGTAGACAGAGAGGGGAAGGGGGACGAAAGAGAGCATTGAGTGTGACTGGGTGGAGATGAAATATGCAGTGCAGAAGTGGACAGGACCGAAGGAACGACCAAACAACCAAGCATTGAATAAAATCAGTAGGTAACAATGCTATTTTCGATCACGTTTCGTTAGCTTCTAATCTAAATAACTGTATAAGTTAGGAGTACCCACTTATGAGCGAAGTTCAATCTCCAGAAACTTTTTGGTGGCAAACTCGTACCGAGATCACCCTAAGCCAGAGCGTCAGCTGACCGGCCGCTGATTCGGGTAACCGAAGTTGAATGAAGCTTAGCTGCGATATATCAGCTCGGTCTCTGGCGAAGTGCGCGCCAGCCAATGCGTTCGAGTGTCGGTGATTACTAGCTCCCAGCGCCACCCAGCCTGGCTTCTGCACTGACGGCGGAGGAGGCAAAACCGCGGTCTGGCCGCCCGCAGACGGACAATTTATCTGAGAGATGTTTACAAATGGAGCCGGAACCGGCTAACGGAAAGAACTCGGCTGTATGCTGGAGGGCTGCTCTCCGAAACAATGTTTTTAGTCTGAGCTGGCTGGTGATACATTTTTCCTCGCAGCAGGCACGGCCTTGGCGACTAGGACCGCGGTTGGAGCTGTCCGAATTCCGGTGCACGACCGCCCACGGCGCATTTCGTGGCCGGTCTAATGCGCCACATCCGCTGGCAATATCATTTATTCCTTCCAGTGGCCATGGCGTTTTAGATGTGACCATCTCTAACGTTATTCAATCACACCCACACGTGTCACGTGAATCAGGCTGCACATACCTACGTCTTATACACAGGAACTTCCGAGACATGCTTATAATGTTATGAGGAAGTATTTCCAGAAATAATGTGAATTGGTTGCCTGGTTAAGAGTGGTGATATGTACTGCGCGGATTCACGAACAATAATAGCTTAAGTAAGCAATTTGTGGTCAACTTTGATATGATAACTCCAATGCAAGGTGATTTCCGTGAGATAGCGTAAATCAGTAGGTAGTTGAGGTTTTTCCACGTCTTGCATATTCACAATAGATAAAGTCGTGATTCTTCAGTTTTCCATAATGCCAACGACCTTCATTTTCCATATATGCTCGTTATGTTTTGGCGAAGCATTTCCAGAAAAAAAAATCAAATCGGCTTGGTCGCTTGAAATGAGGCTGCTAATGCTATAATTTCATTATCACTATTCAGTCTTCAGTCGCCGGCACTGTGGTCTCAGACGTCAGCTGTCACTGGCCGCCGGTTGCGGTTCGTCACCAACGTCAGATGACAGCTGCGCTGGTGTCGCCCAGTGTACCGCCGACCAGTCGATCTCCCAGATAGGCAACACTGTGTTGGCCACCACGACAAATGCATAGGAGGACTTCTTGTAGTTTGGGCCAGTGATGTACTTTGCCATTAGGTACATATAAAATTGACGGGAAATGTGTACCTACGAAGACCGCATTACGCTACTTATTGCATATGCTGGGTAGTGGGACGTTACGTGATGAAAAAGACAGGGACACGAGAAACAGTTAAACTAAGTACATCAGGATTTGAGCGGGCCCTGTTATCTGTAATGCTTCCAGCGAGATATCAATAATCGACCCCAGCTGTCGCCGTCTTAGCTGCGAGTTCACCGCCCTCTCTCTAGATGGCACTAGTTGTTAGCGCCTGAAGGTATGCTGTTCCGCATAGCTCTGAGACCGAGCGCCAGACCGCGTTTCCATTTGTCGGGAAGAACCACGCGCTGATGGATTCGGTACGGCTACAAATGCCGAAAGCAGTAACAACTGTCGAGCATTTAAAGCAATTAACAAAACGTTTCTCACCCGTCCCGCTATAAGCGGAGCAGATGTGGGCTGGAGGGGCGCAGGTGGCGGGCCGGATATGCGCGGCCCGGGGCGCTCGCAGGCCGCAGGGAGCGGCGTGGCAGTGGTATCGGCGGTCGCGCTCATCCATCATCGGTAGCTGGCTATTGGGCCTGGTCCGGCACCACCCGGCCAGGCACCGGTCCCAGTCCAAATTACAGCCTCACGAGGCGCTCTGTACAAATGTCTTGGTATTGTTTGTGCTCTAATTGACCACTCTTGGGGAATGCTCGTCTTTTTGTTCGCAGCGGAACACAAACGCGTGCGTTTCCGGTTCCATCAACTTAAATGTTATAGTTTTTACTCGTAATTGGTATCTTTTATTTTTATGCTGCTTGGTTCATATAAATATAGACAAAACGTTCAAACCTACCGAGCTGAGAGTATGTCTGTGGGTTCTTCTGCTTTGTTGTGGCGGTAGCTATAGCGACGAGTCGTGTAGTCGAGACTTGAGTAGAAACGGAGTCGGGGTCGGTCATGGAGATTATGAATTGCTGCGGTTGTCATGACACCAGAGCGAACGTCTAACAGAAAAGCTGACTTGCCTCTGGGGTAAATCGAGAACTGACGAAGCCACTTATGTCACTCCTTCTGACGACACCTCCCTCTCTTCTTCTGGGCCGCCCCTTGCCTTACCCCGACCTCATCGTGGGAAATCTAAAATCTCTAGAGAAATAATTGCAATGTCAATGCTGAGCGTGAGGATACGTTTTCACTTACTATATACTGATTACTGAACGATTTGTCATTACATCATTTTTTCAATATCACTTTCTAATGGAGGACAGGAACAAGATACAAAAACCAAAACCGCTCACAAAATGATACACGAATAACCCCGGACTAGTGACGTCTCTGCTTCAGCGGAAGCCATCGGACACCGCCACTCGGCCGTCAGTCACACTAATGAATCGGAACGGGGGCGCTTTTTCGTCGCTGTTCCCACCGGTTGGATGTGATTGAGTGACGCCCCCGGACCGGCAGACGGCAGATGCCGCGATGGAGTGGGTGGGAGGGGAACGGAAAGGTCGAGGTCGAGGACGGCCTGGGGCGGCGATGCGCATTCAGTGAGACTGCAAGACTGCGAGACTGTGTCTGCCAAGATATGTGTGGTCCTAAACTATGAGGCTGTTTCTTGCAATGTTTTGTGAAGACCGTCATGTTATCCATCAACATTCTTGTAACCTTCTTGTATTGCTTGTTCACAGAAAAGCTCTCGAGTCACTGATCGTGAGAGGGAGCTCCTGCGACGATCATCTCAGCTCGACACCCAGGTCAAGAAGCTGCAGATACAATGTAAAAACCTCAAACTAGACAACAATGGCCTGGTAAGCTCGAAAACCTACTAATCGCTGACCTCGTTTTGACCTCTTCTTTGAATTCAAAGTTAATATTTTTCTTGGGCTTGAACAATTATTTGATAATTTTGATTTTGCTTGCCAATCGGCTTGCCTCTCTAACTCAGCTGAGTGATTGCTCCTTCCGTTTTCTAAGGGTGCTCGTTTCCACCGTGGCTGTGCAGTTAAACGGAGCTGTGATCGATACAAATGCTGACCGGTTGTAGGATGGCGTTGACAAATGGCTCAGTTCGCTCCCACACTCTCCGAGCTGTGAAAGGCGGTACCTCCCGGCCGATAATATAACGGAGCGTCCCGAAACGGATCACCCTGTTCAGAATTCTGTTACAAATGTTAAGCTTAGCTTCGTAAATTTTGATCTGCTTGAGTTCTTATGAAGCCGTTTGAAGCTTAATGGATTTGCAGAACCAGAGTGGTAACCCTTGACGTAGTTCCGAGATGCATTACTAAAAACCACAATACCATTGCATCTTCTATTCTTGAAAAGTGTGAGTTTTCATTTGACTAGTTTTCTTTCCCATCATCTTTCCAAGTTATTTTTGTTAATTTATGTAATGCGCATTTTACACGCGTTTGACAATTGACATGCACGTTCTCAGTGCAGTGTGTGACTGACTTGCCTCTCTCTTCATAACTCTGCGCGCGTTCATTTCACACGACCACTTTCTTCAGTGTTTGACTTGTCATGTGTGTTGCCATGCGTATCGCCACGCTGACGTTCACTGCGCCGTTGGCAGAAGACCGTCACGTCTGTTTGTTGTTCCGTTTGCAGAAGACCGCCATGGATGCCGAGCTGGAGAAACCGCTGGCGATCCGCGTGAAGGCCGCCGAGAGACTGCGAGAGACACAGCTGCTCAAAAAGAAGAACCAGGAACTCACAAACATGACGCGCAAACTGGAGGAGAAAGTCAAAACTCTGGAGAAGGTAACGGAGAAAACTTGTCGCTAGTGCCTACCACTTACAGCAGATAATTATGCACACTGCTTTGATTTGTCACCTACACGAATTCATATCTTGGATTTTCGTCGTATTAAATACTTGCGGCAGTGAATAACTTATGTGCTGTAGTTGGCATTCTTTCGTTCGAGATGATTTAAAACTAAACACTCTTACGTCTGTGCTAAGTCGCGTCGGTCTGTAATATCAGTTCACCTAACTCATCTCATGCGGCACGCTAAGCTCAGCTTCACTCGCTCTCACACTGTTCTCCTTGTGTACCCTGTGTACAGAAGTCGCGGGAGGTGTCACAGCAGCAGCAGGAGCGGTCTCGGACGCGTATCGTTCGGCAGCTGCCGCAGACGCGGGCCGTGCCACCCGAGATCCAGCAGAGAATGGCGCCCAGTCTGCAGCAGAAGACGACTACCGTGCAAAAACGGACAGTTAGTGCGCCACAGCGGACAGTGAGTGCCGGACAGCGGACAGTGAGTGCCGGGCAGCGGACAGTGCGGACAGTGAGTGCCTCTCCGCAGCGCTCTTTGAACGGTGAGCAGAACGGCAGTAGTGTGAGCAGCAGCAGTGAGAGGCTGTCGCAGCGCGAGCGGCCCGGCCTGCAGCAGCGCACCACACTCACTGCCAAACAGCGCGAGCGAGAGTCCGAGTACCAGCGCCAGATCAAAGAGCGAGACTCTGAGATCAAACGGCTTAAGGAGCGCATGAAGATCATCAGCGACAAACTTTCCAAGAAGAATGAACTGCAGGTACGTCAAAGAGTGAATGGCTTGCGTTTCGCTGTTACATACGTGAATCTTCAAGCGTAATAAGAATGGTGGCCCAAGCAAAACACGCTAAATATTTGAAGCGCCTCTTAGCTTCTTATGGTTATCGGGTGTAGTCTTAAAAAAGCGTTGTGATACCAGCGATATAAAGTATTTACCCTCCCATAATTCTTACGTGAGATCAGAACCCGTCCGAGAAGACAGGAATCATTATTTTATTACCATCCCGAGCATATCAGTCTACTAATAACCAGGGGTGCGGAGCCGGAGCCGGAGCCACCGGAGCCGGCACATTTTTGCCCGGAGCCGGAGCCGGAGACGGAGCCGCCATGACATTTCACCCGGAGCCAGAGCCGGAGCCGGAGCCGATTTTATTTCTCCGAAGCCGGAGCCGGAGCCGAAGCTGTCTGAAAATTCCACGGCTCCGCATCCCTGCTAATAACGCTACTATTTCACAGATATTAAAGGAAAAAGGAAAGAAGGAGCTTGTCAGCGTTATCACGCAGCTGCAGAGGGAAAAGGCCAAGCTGGAGATGCAAATGAACGCGCTGGCAGAGGTAAGTGTCTCGAACTAGGAATGGTGACCGAGTTCCCTATTCTACTTTCCTATTCCCTGTTCCTTATCCTAATGTCGCTGTTCGGTGCTCAGCAATAATGGCAATACTTCACTGCAGTGATACTCCGGGCTGGCTGGTGGTGTCAACAACTAAACAGGAAGGTCATGAGCAGGTTAATGGAGACAGAAACGATGAATTTGTCCATGAAGCTGGATCATGCACGACTCTATATCCCGTCTGTCTCCTGTCTCCTGTGTCCAGTCTCCTGTGTCCCGCCTCCTCTCATGTCATGTCTCCTGCACTGGGCATAGTTTTCCCCGGTGTCCTTTCTTCCAAGATGCTCTTCCTCATTCGGTCTTCCGACTTTTGCTCCACGAGGGCTTACCGTTCAGTCACTAGGTAGTTGAAACTCGGCCTTGCGGCTAGCTGCCATTTATCTCCGTAAATCATGGGACCCAGGTGCAGGGAATCAGCAGCGCTAGTGTAATTTCATTCTACTTAAATCACTGCGGGTGGCCAGTTGTGGCCTATCTTCGCGCTCTGTATCGATTTCTGCCCACCTTACCGAGTTAATTACCGGAGCAATTACGTCCGAGTTCGCTCCATGATCGGGCGGCAGTACGCATGGCGAATCCTGTCCTCAATGCAATGGTCACATTGGCTGGGTGCAAACCAGCTCTTGTTTTATTACGGAGCGAGCGAAGCGAGCGGAGTCTTTCCTTAGATTAACGGAAATTTCTGAGTATGAGCGGCCGGCCGGCCGGCCGGCCGGCCGTGGTCACGCTTTTGCGAGGCTTATATCTCAGCAACCACTTGACCGATTTACACGCGGTAATTTTTGTAGGGTAGCTTCATTCCTTCTACCAAGTATTGGACTATTCCTGATGCATGTGGGTGACCCCTTATGCACGTGCCACGTGCAAAACGAAGAGGTGTCAGTTTTGTAATTGTTGCAATATCTCGGTAACTACTTGGCCGATTTCGCTGAAAGTTGGCATGTAGGTAGGCACCCACTAGGCACTGCATATCCATGTGCCAGAGTTGGGGTGCTGCTGCGCGTGCGCACGTGCAGGGGTCGTTTCCAGATCTCGAGAACGGCTCGACCGATTGCGCTCAAATTTGGTACACAGTTAGGGACCGGTTAGTAGGGTGCCGTGCACAAGTCAGTTGGGACCCATTTTGCACGTGTGCACGTGCAGGGTGCCGCTTCCAGATCTCGAGAACGGCTGGGCCGATTGTGCCCAAATTTGGCACGTCGCTAGAGACCGGTTAGTAGGGTGCCGTGCACAAGTTAGTTGGAGGTACCCCCTCGCAATTTCGCACGTGCAAGGCTCACCCTCTCGCTCGCTCCGTTAGTCGCCCATAAGGCGTTATACTGGTGAACATGGCGCTCGATTTTTTTCGTGCTGAATATCTCTACTTTCAGGTCATTACACTCCTTTCCTTGGCCGGGACGAATGCTGTCGGATAGTATCAACTGGGCGTGTGTTAATGCCGGCAGATGGGGCCAAGTTTAATCGATTTCCATGTCCCTCTGACCTAATTCGGGTTCAGTCATTCGTGAGGTATTTATTGCGCCCCAGTGACACAGATCAGCTGGTGCTCCGTGGAGGCTCCCGGGCCCCCTCTCACCGCTCCGCCCCTCTCCAGCTCTGCCGCCCCGTCCCCGGCTACTCAGTCGGCCGGCCGTCCTCAGACCCAGCCCGGCCGGCCAGCAGACACGCCCCAGCCGGCCGGCTCAGTATCCACGATGGCTATCGGCCGGACGCACAGGGTTAATCGCCGTGCCATTCATGCTGGCCGCGGCGCCGTCGATACGCACTGGTCGGGGCGCCGGCGCGCCGCTGGTGGCCGCGCACGCGCCGCCGCCGGCCGCGGTGCCTATTGATTTTGCTGGTGCCGCGGCGGCGTCGGGCGGCGGCAGTGTCGATCCGAGCCGGCCGACGGTGGTCCTCGGTGTAGCGCGCGACGTCAGCCCACCGGCCGACGGCGCTAGAGACGGTGTCCGTGTGGCGCCGCACCCCACCGTCCGCCGCTGCCGCCACCGTCACCGCCGTCCCCATCAACTGCAGCAGGTAGGGTCAGGTGCGAGCGCCGCCGAACAGCCGCCCATACGACGTGTCGAGGCCGTATGTATGTGTGTATGTCTGTGTGTGCGTGAGAGTGTGTGGGTGAGTGTGTCAGTGCCCAGTAGTCTTTCCTTCTATGCGTGTATGTCACATTACTGGCGACTCGAACGAACCCTACACTCCATCGGTCGATATGCCCTCGACGCGCTATCGTGTCTCCCGCGACCGGGCGAAACGGGGTCAGCCGGGCCGTGATACCCCCATCGACGGACCGATAGCGACACTGGCTCTTCACCGGGCTCGGGGCGACACCCACGGAGGCCTGAGAGACCGCCGCCACCGCCAGCGCCCGGACACAGCGGCCGTGGGCGGCAGCGGCAGACGTCGTCAACGGCTGTGGGCGGTGGAAATGTGGAAGCCGATAGCCGCGCGGAGGCGGGCAGTGAGAAATTGAGTAACCGACGCGGCCCCATGCGGTGACGAAACTACCGACGATCAGAGGGCTTACGAGCGCCGCGGCCGACTGCGGAGGAGGAGGATTGTTGCTCCAGAAGAATTGCCAGTTTTATGAGAAGGCTGTCGTAGCAATGGAGAGTGCGCTAATCAACAGTGAGTGTGCCGCCGAAAGATAGGCTAAACGATGGACTCCAGTCAAGATCTATTTTCCCTGCGGGCCGCCCACTGTTCGGTGTGTTAGCTCCGGGTGAGTTCCGGCCGCTGGTGTGCTGCTCCCGGTGACCGCGCTGCTCCCAGTCACCTCAGTCCGCCACTCAGTCTCTGACCGGGCGCGACACGCCTCCGGGCCGGCTCCGTGGCCGCCGGCCGGTCGCGGCTGACCGACCGGCCGGCCGGCCCGGATCGTCGGCGGCCCGGCGGCCGATCGACGCTGACGAAGACGGTAATGGTTGAGCGCCGACGGCACGGCACTGCAGCCGCGCCGGCCTGTGACGACCGACAGCGCGCCGGACGGTCAGCTGGCCGTCAGAGCTGAGCTGTCGGTCCGGCCATCGGAGAGCGCGACGTGATTCGGAGAAGTGGTCGAGAAGCTGCGCAGTCTCTGATCATTTGGCTTATTTGCCTACGCCTGGTATTCTTGGATTACTTCTTCATGCCAAGAGGCTACTGATTCAGCGTCGTATTGGGCTGTCAGGAAACGATCTAGCTTGCATTTACGGAGTACCAGTTTCCAACTGTTTCAACACTCACTTGTCAGTCCCTCCACCACTCTCGGCCGTCCAGCCTGCAGAGCGGCACCGCAAAATTGATCGTGCCGCGCCGGCAATCGACCGTCACCTGCAGTCGCCGGCACACGCACAAACAGCCGCGCGCGGTCGCCGTTATGAGGCGGCTCGTGGCGCCGCTATTGCTCATATTCGGCCGTTATTAGAAGGCCGCCTCCGCCCAGCTATCGCCTATTCTGCCCTCATTTGTGGGCGGCCAAGAGCTGCAGTGCTGCTTCGATTAAGCAGTAAAATCGCACGAGTCAACTGTCAAGATGTCAGTGCCAATGGCTCGGTCAAGTGGTGTCAATGTACAGCTGTGTGCAGTCAGTCTTCACAAAGCCTGGCACCATGAGCTGGCACAAATGCCTTCCCGGATCTATGTCCAGAAACTTGGTCAGCGTGGTCACGTGGAAACTTTTGTTGAACAGGGATTAGGTACTCTGTAGACGAGCTCCGGTGGACTTTTTAGAAAATGGTATGTTGGCAAAGCGTCATTTATTTGGGTTTTTGATGTTTTATCTCCATGCTGCCCCCAAAAGTGAAAACGAAATTATTAGAAAACTGGATTTTTGTATAAGATGTTTTTCTTACATACCGTGGTCGCTTACAATTTGTTACACTTGTTTGCAGTCATCTTAGGTCATTCTTTCATCTTTGGCGACAGCTGAGGAACGTGAGCCCGCGCTGGGTTTGTACTCCTGGAATCCCTTATTACCAGCACCCGAGGCCGTCCCTCCCCTCAGTACCAACTCGGGTCAGCCGCCCGCCTGTGGTGTTATCCCGGGTCATCTCCCTTCTCTCGGGATCAATGTGGCCGGTGTCTGTGGGCGCGGTGGGCGGGGGGGGGGGGGGTGCGCTGATGACGTCACGGTGCCGGCGGATGACCGTCTGTCTCTCTAATTGGCCACCGTCTCCCCCTCGGCTAATCGGCCGGCACGAGCGCGCCGCCGCAGCAGGGGGGGGGGACGCGGAGGGGGCGGCCATGTCACCGGTATCGATGACGGAGCGCTGGCTCACGGGGCGGCCCGCTGGCCTGCCGCCGCGGTGGGGCGGACTATGATGGTTAGCCGCCGTTGGGTGGGGTGGCGCCGCGGGTGGGATGGACAGCGGTGGGTATTACGGACTGGCTGGCTGGCTGGGACGGACGGCTGTGGGTAGGACGAACCGTGGTGGGTGGGACTGATGGGGGTGGGTGGGACTGACGGGGGTGGGTGGGATGGACTGGCTGGGCGGGACGGACGGGCAGTGGGCCTGTTACGGACTTGTGTTGTGGGAGTGGTGGGACGGACGGTCGAGGGTGGGACGAGCCGTGGTGGGTGGGACTGACGGCGGTGGATGGGTCAGACTAGCTGGGTGGAACGGACGACGTTGGGTGTTACGGGCTGGTTGGGTAGGACTGCCCGCTTACCGACCGCAGTCGCCCTGGGTGGGCCGGGCGGAATATCATGTCCGCCGCCAGCTGGGTGGGACGGACGACCACAGGTCCAGCTACCAAGGGAACTACACGGGACGTGTCCACCGCACCCTCCCGCTGTCGAGCACGCAGTGCCAGGAAGGAAGGAAGTGAGCCCGTGCTGCAGGGCCGCACTCCTGGAACGTCCGGCCGGCCGCCCCCACCGTGACTCATTTCCTGCGTGCTAGCTCTGGATACAACAGCGAATTTTCAGCGGCGCTTAATGCCACTATGGGTTTATACGACTGCGTGGTAACCGCATGAGGTGGTAATGGTATTCTTAACTTAGCCCGTTTTTCGTATTTACACTTACATTTGTATATTTAACAAATACCGTAACTTCGAACGGCTGACGATGGACTGCCGGAGCAGTTTTTCTGCTGTCCCGTCCCAGCCGTCTCCGGTGACCCCTCTGCGGTTGAGCTGCGGCAAACAAGTCGCCGAATATCAGCGCCGTCTGGGTCCGCCTCCCCCAGCGACGTACCCCAGTCTGGGTCACCCTGCCCTCGGCTCCCGTCTGGACCAGTCAGCTGTCAGCCCTCCCGTCCCCCGTCTGGGCCAGCCTCTCCTCAGCCTACTGCATGAAGGCCAGCGTTAGGGCCACCCAACCCTACTGGTTCCTCCCCTGCTGCCCTCGCTACCACCACGCCTTACCTGTCAGCCCGTATAGTCGACTACAGAATGATGTTTCACAGGCAGTTATTTGCCTGGAGTGGTAGGATGTGCCGCACCACACGGGCTAAGTTCACAAATTATACCTTTGTCCCAATGCTCACAATCGACACGCTTAATTGCGTGATAAACGGCACACCTTAGCGGTCCGGTCAACTGATAGCTTATGAGGAGTGGAATATCATTCTGTAGTCGACTATACCTGCCACAGGTATTGGCTGGTACCGGCCGGTACCTGCCGCAGGTCACCGGTGCGCAGCTGCAGCCTGCTCGGCAATGTCGCGAAGCTTACCGCGATTGTTGCTTGGCTCTCTGGTAAATTTCCCAATGATATAGCTTTTGTTACTGCCTGCGCAGTCTTTCGGAAGATCAAACCAAATATCAATCCTCATACTTGATCTGCGTCGCTTCAGAAGGATTGTGTCCGAGTGTGTGCGGGATTTCTGCTTCTGTCTTCAAACATGTGTCAGCCAATAGGCCTTCATTTTTCAGTCATGAGTTATCAGCTTCACTTGCACTTTTTAAATCGATGTGCTTTGTGATCCTTTTAAACTCAGCGCTCCGTTCCGGTGATATTCTCTAACTATTTTTTGTTTTGTTTCAGGAGCAGCGCAACCAGCGAGCCTCTGACGTCGACAGATTCCAGGCTCTCGAAGAGCAGAACATCACCCTCTCCGCGCAGCTGAACGAGCTCAACAAACTAGTCCAGGTGAGCGGATAAAAATTCGTAATATCACGGCATTCTTGAATTGCGGCAACTGGTCACGGCTAAAATAAGTCACTGTTTTTCGATAATGCCCGATACACAAACAAGGGGCTTATCCAAGTAGAATGAAACCTCCCATGGCTTCGAGTTTCCCAAGATCAAAGCTACATACGGCATGTATGTGCTACTTTATAATGACGGTAATAATTCAAAACGTCTTTTTGCGCCGAAAGGTAGCTGCAAGCACTGAGCCCCGATAGTCTCAGACAAAATTAGGTTGCCAACCCAACCCAAAGTGGAATTGCATTTTTAGCTTTATCTAGACTTATAAATGCAAGGTATGTATTTGTTTCTTCTTTCAGGATCACAAGGAGATTCAAACACAGTTCGAGGAGAAAATCGAGGAATGTGAGCAGCTGGCAGAAAGTTTGCACATCAAGAATGAATTATGCGATGACCTGGTGAGCCCTTACTTGCATTTTATCAGTCCTGCAAGGTGTAGAGCTTCACAAACAAGATACTATCTAACAGGAGTGTCCAATTATAATAGGCGTGCTATCAACATTTGCACGGATTGCACCCATTTTATGTTTATCTTCTCGTCTCATTCCGTCCCTTCCCCTCTCATCTCTTTCCTTCCTCTCCTCTCCTCCCCTCTCCTCTCCTCTCCTCTCCTCTCCTCTCCTCTCCTCTCCTCTCCTCTCCTCTCCTCTCCCACAGCTCCCCGCTCTGTTCTAGAACTAAGTTATTGCACACCCGCGTTGACATAAGGGCTGATAAATTGTGCGGTTTCGGCTATCGCAACGCCACTAAATTTGTAATATCGCATCACCATATGAAACTGACGTTCTCGCCTCCAACGAAGTCGCGAATGGCCTCAAGGGGACGAGGGACGAATCTCAAGTCGTTGCCATGGTAACAGCCGAGGCACCACTGCGCTGGTATACTGTGCCGCTGGACACGGAGACTGCAACGCACGGGCGAATGGGCCCGGCACCCAAGGCCTTGGTCTTACTGAGTGACTACAACGCCGAAGAGCGTCTAACCTGATACTGTTCCGCAATACTTAGCGACTTCAATATAGAACAATCGCTAACCCAAAAGACGGTGATTCCGCAATTTGCCTCGGGTCTTCTTTGTTATACGCGCAATGCGTTGCTCGATCATTGGCTATGCGTTGATAAAACATATAAACCCTAGCGGATCCAGCGGATCTTGGGGAGGGGGAGCACCGATCGCCCGAAATCGACAAAAAAAACTGCGCTTTTTCGACAGTAAAACGTTAACTGAACAACTTTATGAGGAAAAGTTTGTTTCAAATTGTACAGCAGTGTGTCAGGAATCAAACTCCAATGAGCTTTTGAAACTTGGAGAAAACTTAAGGGAGTGTGCCCCCCCCCCGCAGCGCCAAGACCGCCTTTCTAGATCCGCCATTGTGTATCATTGACTGTTTCTTCTGCGTACGTAATCAAACTTCAATGTGGTGAATGTCCAGATGTTTTTATTTCTTTCGATGAAAAGCTCAATCACAGACTTTATAAATAGAGAAGGCTGTGGCTCAATTAAATAGGTCCCTGGCATGGTTCATAGACATGGATCAGTTGTTATTGTCATCCCTCTTATTTCAGGAAAAGCAGCTAACAAGAGTGATTGAGAAAAACACCGAATTGACAATACAAAATAGTGATCTTCAGCGACAAATTCATGAACTAGATAGTGTAAGTATCATCGAGAGATCAACTTTGTGGGCCGTGTTTGAATGAACCGAATGGCCAAAGAAGCTGCTAGCATGGTAGCAAGGCAAACTGTATCTATAGCATGCATTTGCAAGCCTTATTGCCCAATGACTTTTGCAGCATTCAAGCCATTTTAGAGGTGGACTTGCCCGATGCTGTGCCTCTGTGCATGAAACCGCAGGCGTGTCCATCCCCCGTCAATGTGCGCCCATCCGTTGCGCGGGTTGGTTACGATGATAATATTTGCCTACAGATAAGCTCACAATGTGCATCGCTCAAAGAGAGTCTCAACAGCGTCGGAACAGAATATGAGTCGGCCAAGTTTGAGGTAGAAACCCTGAAGGAAAAAGTTTCAACCCTGGAGTCCGTACTAAGGGTAAGCTCGATGCCGCGCTATTCAGAGTTGTACGCAATACCTCTCAGGACTGAACGCTTCTGAAAGCTATCACAATACAATATGTTTACGAGGAATACCTAGGCCGTAAGTGCCTTGCTATAAAGCAACCATAGGCACCAGTCGCCAATACGTTTCACCATATACGAATGCTTAAGATTTGCTACACTTTTTGATAATGTCCTCACTAAGGCTTTTTCTTCTAAAAATGTCATATGTTTGCATACCAATATCAATTAAATGCATTAAAATTTTTGAGTCATTGACAGTGTGATAAGCGAAGAACACCGTCGTTCGGTGTTTTTATCTCCAATATTAAAAAAGAACGCACAGCGCCAAATACCGTTAACGCACATTGAAATCATTACAACGCTTGTATGTTTCACCTCTCGAACATGTTTGTTATTCGCTCCGATTTGTCCTCTAAACGCGCGCATTTACCTATCGCTGCAGCAAATGCGCGATGCTGCTGAGCGCAAGAAGGAGCTTGAAAAGCAGCACCAGGAGGCTCAGCAGCAGCTGCGGCAGAAGCAGGAGGAGATCGCCACGCTCACCAAGGCGTCCGAGAGCGAGAAGCAGGCCTCGCTAGACACCATTCAGACGCTGGAGAGCAAGGTATGTCTGCCGAACCCCCGACCCGGGATGGATGAATGGTGTTAAGTGCGTTAACAGCTGCGGCAGCACCGAGTCATCGCTCGTGTCGAACTATGTTTGCATTTGGCCGTAAGGTACGAGTGGTAAATAAGTTGCTCGGGAATGTATAATTGCTCGGGAATGTATTAGCAGACTAATGGGAGCCGCTGCCTGAGTTGATATATTTGCGCTTGTCCTCAGATCCGGGAGCTGGAGAAAAAGGCGGAGGTTCAGAGTCTGCGCCATGAAGAACTCATGCTGGAAATGTCATCGCTCAAAAAGCAGAACAAATACAAAAACTCTCAGGACGGCAGCCCAGACGGAACCATCACTCCAGGTAACTTGACCGTAAAAGTCACGGAACATGAATCTGACTCATAGTACGGTATTCTTCGGAAATATCGCGTAGGTAAGACTTTGCTGTTAATACTACACCAGAGAGCGGTGGTTTCAAGTCTGCCAATTAATTCGTTTGCCCTGTCCGTGGCACTGACGGTGGTCACGTGTGTGTATTGCCAGACTCGATGCTGCTGTCCACGGAGAGCACTGCCCGCTCCACGCCGGTGGGCACGGCCATCACGCCCGCCAGCCTGGACGCCCTGCCGGAGGTGGACGAGTCGCCATGTAAGGCCCCCAGCTGTGACCCCTGACCCCGCCTCCCGCCCGTGGCCCCTGCTCCGCGGGCCGCGGCGTCGTTTGTGCCCGCAGCTGATCCCTGTCGGCTGCCAGGGCCGCTGTCCGCTCTGTTTGCCCGACTGACCGGTGTTGACACGAACAGAGCTGGCCCGCCGCCGGCCGTCAGAGCCCATTACCGAGCACAAGGGCGAGTCCGTCCCGCCCCGGCTGAGCAGACGGCAAAAATGCGCCCTTTGTGTGCTTCTCACTTACTCACCCATCGTGTGATAGTTCTCGCTGAAGTCGAAACCGCTGTAACCTTTGATAATTTGCCGCCGAATTAATTGTAACTGTTTAGCCCACGACATGGAACCCTCTACAATGTATCCTTCTCAAAAGCTTCTACAAACAATCCCTTATGACGTTTTAAAGCTTCAGCGTTAGATGACAGCAAAGCCCCACCCATGTTAGCTCTACTGCGTTATAGACGTTGCTTTTAAAAATCATTCATCACAATCTTGAATTTTTATATTCGAGCCTGCCTTCTCATTCGACCGAGTATCAGGCTGTTGTAGTTGGCCTTCTCTGCGCATCTTTGCATTGCTGCTTTGTCGCCTGGTGTGATGTGTGAACCTGTATTTGAGCGGGTGTCGGCGCCGGCTTCCAGTCTGGACGCGGCGAGTCACAGACATTCAACTCCCGGCCCGCTCAGTGTCGGGACCGAGCTCAGCCAGCCTCGAGCTGGACAAATTCCGCGCACAAATGGAGAGCGATACCAAGTTTTTGGCCGAGTTAGACAGGGCCCGGTCGGCGCTAGGTAAGCGTCTCTGTCGTTCTGTGGCGTCAGTGGCACGTGCAGCGGCCGCCGTTCGTGGTGTGTCGAGTTGAACTGTGCAGCGCCACCAGTCACCGTGGCGCTTCAATGTCCGGAGCGCGAGTATGGCCTACCGATCGTGCCGATGTATTGTTGTCAGTGTCGAGCACCAGAAAACCCGCTGGTGCTTTGGTGTTGTGTTGACAAGCATCGCTGAAAGCTACGATGCATCTGTGTCTCGCAATAATCTGAGGTAAATGTAATGTTAATCGTTTATGGAATTCATTCCATGCATTCTACATATTGTAAAATGAGTTTTAATTCACTGCTAAATTTATTGAACACGTTCATTGAATCGTGAATAACCATCATGAACATGATGCCTTGAAAGAGTGACGCCTGCTGCTTTTGCATGCAATTGTATTTCACTTCTCTGGCATTTTGAAGGATTTGAAATCTTTTCTCATCTCTGCTTTTGTCTGCCGATCGGTCTGACAATTTTCTGGAATGGCTTGATCTGTAGTTGCGGCCGCGTGGCTTTTGTCCCGTATGCTGTGCGCGGTGGCTGCTGTGCCTGGTTGCGTGCGGGCTGACCGTGACCGTGTGCTGGCCGACGGCCGGGTCAGGTGAGGTCAGTGTGTGACCCCTCCGGCGCTCCGTCTGTGCCTCCCCAGGCCGTCTCTGCTCTGTACCGCCGACCCGGCCCCGGAGGCGGCGGCCCGGCGCCCGGCGCTCCGGTCAGCCGACCGGCGAGCGGTCGGCCCGCTCCGGGCGGCAGCTGCCCCGCCCGCACCCGGACCCGGACCCCGACCACCCGCACCCCCACCCCCACACCCACTCCTCAGCCTCTGCCCCGGAGCTCGGCGGCGCGCCGGTGTCCGGCCGCAAGGCTCACCGATCGTCGCGCTCTCGGCGTCTGACTCGCTCGGCAGGTGGGCCGCAGTCGGTGTCTCCATTGGCCCTCATAGTGAGCGTAGGTAGCCGACAGTTGGTGTTATTAGAGGCCCTCGATAGTGAGCGTCCTCGATAGCCGCAGTTGATGTTATCAGAAGCACTGGATAGTCGCAGCGTACCGCGTAGGTAGCGGACAGATGGGGTCTCCATTGGCCTCAGCGGTCAGTGAAGGTAGCGGAAGTTGGTGTCGTCAATTCCCTTAGTTATGGTAGCTGACAGTGTCTCAATAGTGAGCGTATAAGTAGAAAACAAATGGTTTCTCCATCGGCCCTTGATAGCCAGCACAGAGGTAGCGAACAATCGGTGTCGCCTTTGGTCCTTGATAGCGTAGGTAGCTGACAGTTAATGTCATCAGTTTCCTTCGATGGATAGTTTCCGAAGCAGACAGTTGTGTCTCCATGAATATCAATAGTCAGCGTAGGAAACAAACTGGTGTTATAAGAGGCCCTCGGTAGTCAGTATAGTTAGCGGACAGTTTGAGTCACAATCTTTTTTCATTAGTTTGTTTAGAAGGCTACGTCCGTGTCCCATCGGTCTATTTATGTCAGGTTAGTCAGCCAGCGACAGTTGAAGGGAGATCGGTGACCATCAGAAGTCAGTGTGGGCAGGTGACTGGCCGCTGTGGCCCTCCTGAAATGATCCTCTTTAGTGGCTGCCACCGGCTGCTCACAGCGCCCTCCCACACCCACTGGTCTGACCACCCGGCGTAGGTGGAGCCTCTCACGTCAAAAACTTACGGCCCAACATCGTGTCCCTCCGCAGTCCCAGTTGAAACTCAGGGTATGTGCCGCTCTCATCTGAACTCAGGGCTGGTGGTGAATCATGTTCGTCATCGGAGGCCGACGACCATCCCGCCTTCGGCTGTGCAGTGTGCAGCCGCTGTATTGTTCGACCATTTTCCCCTACATACGTAGCGGCAGGGCTGGCGGCTCATATCTCCTCCCACTGTTTCTGGGTTGATGGTGTGCATATCTGGCACGAGGGAGGGGCGATGTTATTTGCCTGACCTGCCCCGACCGCAGGGCTGGCGACCAGTGCCCCCATTTGCTCGGGGTGGTGACTGACTCGGTTTGACTGACCCGTTCTGACCGCAGGGCTGGCGGCCTCTCTGGCGAGCAGCGGCGCGCCGGCGGCCGTTCCGCAGCCAGTGTACTTGACCTCAGCGCTGCCGACGCTGCCGGCCGGGCTGACCCAGCTGGGCGCCGACCAGCTGCTGCCCACCAACCCGTTCTCTGCCGGCTACCCGGCGGCCGGCGGCGCCCTGCTGCCGCCCGGCTACAGCCTGGACCCGGCGCTGCGCGTGGTGCCCGTGGCCGGCACGCTGCCGGCGGCGCTGCCCGGTCAGGTGGCCACCGTGCAGGCCATCCCGGCGGGACTCTACCGCGACGGTGAGCAGACGCACGTAGGACGCACTCAGAGAAGTCATGCAGGGAGAAACTTGGAACCGGAACGCAATGACGTTATTAGCGCTAGCTTGTGTGTTTTGTTTCATGGCAGTTATAAGTAAGAACTTTAATAATCATTTTAACTTCATCCGGTTCTCGCTTGTCCTGTCCGAGCCTTTCATAATGCGAACCAAACGGACGTCTTTTATATTGGAATTTGATCACGTATTTTAGGAGGTTATAATCTTATCCCGTACTACTGTTAATAGTGCAGACCTCATCGATGCAATCTGTGTTTCAGACAAGGCCGGGCTGATGAACGGCACCGTACCGGGCCTCCTGCCGGCCAACATGGCGCACCACCTCAACACGACGCACGCGCCGGGCGTGGTAGACGTGCTGGACATCCCCGGCAAGGGAAAGTGCCAGGTCTTCATCGCCAGGCGAGTGAACTGTACTGTGCTGCGAGAAACAAATGCAATATCAGCAATGATTTGTTGCGATTTCGCATGCATCTAGCTAGATGTTTATCGAACTTCCTTTCTTTCGAATATCATACCTCGAATGAGCAATTTTCCTGAAGTGCACTACCAGTTAATCATCAGACACAGTCTCGGTCACTCACCTTACCCATACCTTTCGACCTGCACAGGTCCGGTGACCGTCACCGCCCCCTGCCTGCAGGTACTCGTACGACCCGTTCCAGCACTCGCCGAACGAGGCGCCCGAGTCGGAGCTGCGTCTGAACGCCGGCGACTACGTGCTCGTCTGGGGCGAGGTGGACGAGGACGGTTTCCTGGACGGCGAGACGCTGGACGGCCGGCGCGGCCTGGTGCCCTCCAACTTCGTCCAGAAACTGGTCGGCGAGGACCTGCTCGAGTTCCACCGGCAGGTGGTGGCCGGCCTGCGCGACTGCGACCGCACCTCCGTCTCCACCTGCGTGCCGCACGACCTCGACTTCAACTCGGCCGACGAGGCGCTCCTCAACAACATGGGTCAGTGCTGTGACGGGGTGACCGGGACCGGTGGTGCGGGCTGCGAGACACACATGTTACGGTCCAGATCATGCTTGTTGATCTGTCGGTGTGTATTTTTGGAACGCCCTCTGCATATCAGGGGGGTCACTGAGACAAACAAAACATCAGCTTTTGCTGATAACGTCTTAATTAGTATGAGTTCGTTGATCCCTGGCTGTATGGTAATTTCATCGTCGACTATCTCATCAGACATCAATGTCCTTTCCATTTGTACCAATTTGTTTTATGAACTGTGTTTCCCCTCAGCTTGAGCCGAGGGTGTTTTAACCCGCGCCCTGATGGGGGGGGGGGGGCCATTTTGGCCCCCCTGTGGTTTTTCTTACATAGCGAGAAAAACCGGGCATCAATTTGACACCTTCACACAAAATTTCAAGTCACAGGTCACCTCAGGTCAGGAGTTATTGAGGTCAAACTGAGGTCATGTTCGAGTAAAAATGAGCAAAAAACATGACATCTTGAAACGCTCACCAATTCTACAGTTAACAAGCAATTTTAAAGTTCTTTATGTGGTTGTGTAGAGAAAAGACGGCGCTACAAAACTGCTATCTCGGATTTTCGAAATTTTGGGATTTTGACCCCCAAAAATAAAAAAAAAGATTTTTTTAGAAAAACTCAAAAAAATTCCAAATTTTTTCGAATTTCGAAAAAAACGGAATATATTTGATAGTCCCTGCGCTCTTCGATATACATACCAAATTTTAGATCGATACCTCTTTTTTTGGCCAAGTTATAGCGAAAAAACTGTTAAAAATTGATGACGTCAAATTTTTGAACTCAATTTTTAGCGATTCTAGACCTCGTAGCGCAAAACGGAGACCACCATTGAACTCCCCGTGACGAGCTGCATCGATTCGATACCCATTTTATGCAAAAATATCAACTTTGAAATTTGACCTAATTTGACCTGACCTTGACCTGACCTTGACCTGACCTTGACCTGACCTTGACCTGACCTTGACCTGACCTTGACCTGACCTTGACCAAAACGTGACCTAAGCTGGCCCTAAAGTCTGTCTGACCCACATTATCGCATTTGTCATGTAAAATGGACCATAAAACATGTATCACACGACACTTTCATATTGTGACCCCCCAGTGACCTGACCTCTGTGACCTGACCTGGTATCAGTGACCTCAAATAGCAAAATATGTGTTTGAAGAACAATTCCCCATCGATGATTTTCAATGAAATGCATTTTACTCGATTTTACAACGCATTTCTTGAAATGCCTGTAAACGGTGAAAATTCGACCTTTGACCTGACCTGTGACGTCATCGGTTTGACCGAGGTCAATGAAATTGGGTCACAAGGTAGTTCCCCGTTGGGGCTATCCAACACCGTTTACCGCTTGTCGCTATGTTGCGTGGTTCTCAAGATCTGAGGGGGGGGGGGCCAAAATGGCCCCCCCCCCATCAGACCGCGTTGCTCGGCAGAACCCATCTGGGCGCGGGTTAAATGCCTATTTTTCACATTTCCACCCGTTCGGCCTTCACAGTACGCACAGTACTAAAAGACCATGGTCTGACAAAACAATATTTTGTCAATATTGTCTGTCGTCTTTGTACTGCTAGGCTTGCTGTTAAGTGTTTTGTTTGTGCTTGTATGTCCTGTTGTGCCGTTAGCTGAGTTATTTGGTTCCATGCTATCTGGTGATTGCTTGGATCGTACTTTAATTAATGGTACCGCTTAACCAAGTTTACGAAACTGACACTCCAATCTGGCTCGCTCAACATTGTGTGCATTGCTTGACATATTCTAAGAAAACAAACAAACCTTAATTTTCGGGCTCATTGACCCATTTTTTCCATCTATGCTGTCGCCTCACCCGCTTACAGTGGTACTGAAACGCTTCCGACCCCTCTTCTTGATGCCTCATACCTCAAGTCTGATGCTCTCATTTTCTATCCTAATTTTCACACCTCTTTCTATGTAGCTATCTCTCCGTTCTCTCTGTTCCCCTTTCCTCTCTGCGCTCTTTCCCCATTGTCTCTCTTTCCCTTCTCTCTGTTCTCGTGTCCCGTTTTCGCTCTTCCTTCCCGTCCTCTTTCCCTTCAAATTTCATCCTCTATAATCTCTTCCATTCTCTCTGCTGCTCACTCGTGTCTCAGATTTCAGAAGCTCTCTCCCTCTGTCCTGTTGTTGTCTGTCTGTCTGTCTGTCTGTCTGTCTCTGTGGCTGAGCCCGCGCTGTTCCGTAGCCCACTTACGCTTCAATAAGCACGGTGCTCGGATCCAGCGGCGAATGCCGGAGGTGCGGCGCGTGCAGGGCTACAGACCGAGTACGTCGGCAGCGCACAACTCTCTTTTTTCCCCTTTATTCCTCTAGTAACTATTATCTGTTGATGCACAGGTACTGCCTAGTCTGCATTTGTGTGCTTGTAGATGCCTGTATGCTCTCCGCATAACGCATGAACGCACTCCAGTTTATTTTCTTGTAAATTTGAGCACTGTTTTTCGTTTATGTATACCGAATTTTTCTGAATTTATTTTGCAGCTGTATTGGGAATGAATTAAGAATCTTATTATAATCCTTCATCCCGTCTTCTACATATAGGGTAGTTAATTAGTAAAGATGTGCTGCTTGTTTCTGAAACGGTGGACGCATCTATTTTATCATCACCCGGTATTTTTCACATTTTTTATCTTGTTTATTCATATTTATTACGATGTATGTATAATTTATAGCATAACACATTTTTTTTATATCGACAAGACTCTGCCAATTTCATTGCAAGTACTCGTAGACTGCACATATACTGAGATTTTCTTAACCCTTTTTGCTTCTGCTTGCGCCGTGTTCACGTATTCCTTCTTTATAATAATCATATGATTGTAATTCCACGAATCACCATGCAGATGATTTATGCAAAGAACCGGGTTAAGCGTTTGTTAGCCGCCATTCACCCCTCATTCATCCCACACCGCACCAAACTTATATGGATTCTGTGCCTCGCGAAAAAAGCGACTTAATAGCAGAGATTAGGGTAGTTTTATTGTTATCATTGTTGTACACGCTCTTCGCTTTTTTCAGCTCAGCACGACGTCTCAGTGTGCGCCACGATGTGTTGTATTTCCTCACCACACCACTCTGCCACTTCACAGTGACACCCGACCTCCGTTACGCCAGTGTGACGGATGCCTTGTCCTCCTGCACCGATGTAGCACCAGCTCTGACCTGGCACCGGCGACCGGCAGACGAGTACGCGGCGGGGCGGCCGGTCCAGGACGGGTACGGGCCGCCGGCGCAGTACCCGGCCCAGTACCGGTACGAGGGCTCGCTGCTCAGTGATGACGAGGAGGAGGAGCACCTGGGCGGAGGTCCCGGCGGGCAGGGCACAGGTCAGTACAGTGGGACAGGGCACAAGTCAGTGGTCAGTCCTGGGGCCAGGGCATAGGCCAGTGGGCGGCGTCAGGACACAGGTCAGCCACGACAGACAGGGGTCAAGTCAGTGGTCTCAGTCCTGGGGCCAGGGCATAGGTCAGTGTGTGTGTGTGGGGGGGGGGGGGGTCAGGACACAGGTCAGTAAGGAGCTGGCGGACAGTCTGGGTGGTGGCAGGGCGTTGGATAATGAACATATGATCATCTGCGACGGTCGGAGGCGTAAGGGTGGTGCTGTTCACAGGTATTTCGACTAGATTTGGAAACGCTTTTTAGCAATGTGTTTCCGCGCCCCTAACAGGCGAATTTTTGTCTAGAAAATGCGTTGTTGTTCAGGTTTAATCTTTTTTTTTAAATGCTTGTAATGCGCTTGTATTTTTGGTAGTATTGCGTTCCACAGCTCACTGGCTATTTAGCTTTCCAATGTGCACACCCGTGTAGTGCCTCGTGCCGCCGCCCGCCGTTCGTGTGACACTCCCTGGCGCGCCCCGTGCCGTTCCCCGTCCACGTGTGACGTCGGCCGTCCTCCCACCAACCAGACGTGTTCTTCTCGGTACTAGTGCCGCCGCCGCGTCAGCTGACGCTCGAGCGCCAGCTCAACAAGTCGGTGGTGATCGGCTGGAACGCGCCCGACGCGCCGCCGGGCACCGTCGACTGCTACCACGTGTACGTGGACGGCCTGCTGAGGACGAGCGTGCGCGCCTCGGAGCGCACCTGTGCCCTCATCGAGGGAGTCGACTCGAGCCGGGTGAGCGGACCGTGTCAGGGGCGACCTCTGTGTGGGGTGGTGGGGCTGTCAAACGTCTTGGGAGAGGCAAGCTAATTATAGTTTGCCATTAGGGCAGCCACAGTTCTGCAGGCTCTTATTCGTCATCAGTCTCTATGATATTGATTTCATTAAAAGTTAATATCTAAATTATTTGTCGGTCTGCTGGCTTGTCGATACCGATAGCGTATCATTCTCTGACCGGCCCTCTCGCCCACTTACAGCCGCACCGTATCAGCGTGCGCGCCGTGACGCCGAACCGGCGCACCTCGCGAGACGCCGCGTGTACCATGCTGATCGGCAAGGACGTGCCGCTGGCGCCGACGGCCGTGCGCGCCACTAACGTCACGTCCACGTCGGCCGTGATCAGCTGGCTGCCGAGCAACAGCAACTTCCAGCACACGGTGTGCGTCAACAGCGTGGAGGTGCGCACCGTCAAACCGGGCGTCTACCGGCACACCATCACAGGTCAGTGGCGGCGAAACGGGCCCGGTATGATCTGCTGGTGGACTGGGAGGGTTGTCTCGAGGTATCGGCAGATCCAACACTATTCATAACCCGAGTCAAATTGAGTGAATGTTGTTTTGTGATGAAATCGACATTGTGTAGGATATTTTTTTTTTAAAATAAATTTAGTCCGAAGGGATGAATGGAGGGCTTCAAGCATCGGCAATCACACATCAGTTATAATAAGCGAATTGCTTAGCATACTCCGTATTGTTTCGTGCTGACGGGTGCCAATTCTTCTTGACAGGCATATCTCCGAATACGACATATCGTGTGAGTGTGAAAGTGAAGAACATCACGGCACCTCAGTTCGCCAGTCGCACGCCGAAGCAGCTGGAGCGGCTGGCCACGCACATCGAATTCCGCACTCTGCCGAAAGGTGAGTAATAGGTGGAGGGTAACATGGTAAAGGTGAACGGCAGTGCACCATAGGGTGAAGTCGTATAAGAGTACGCACTTAGTGGATTTCTTGCTCTCATTTGCTTAATATTTGAAGGAAAGAAATCGCAAATAGGGAATATTAAAGTTCATTGAATTAGCCATCAACCCATGGGGCAATGATCCTTCAGCGTAAATGGAAGTGGTCTAAAACTGACATTTTCTGAACCGTTGCACTTGCGTACTCTTACCATATGGGGTGTGTAAGAGTACGCACGCCAGGCGGGTGGAGTACGCAAGCATATGAACACGCACCTATGCAGCTTGCACTGTCCAAATGCTTAACTTCAAACTCAGAAGGCATTTAAGTTAATTCTAGTATCCAAAAAGAAAAACATAAAATAAATCTTTCAAGTCTATAAATCAGGAAATAATCATGTCGTGTGTTTCTTAAAAAAATGCACAATCAAAAAGGAGAATAACTCGTATTTGGAAGAATTTCGGGTACGCATCTGCATCACAGTGCTCCATTGATGATATACCTACAAAACAAACGTCATTGAGCGATAGATTGATAATTCTATATTTCTGTATATTCGATTTAATGTATAATTCTGCGTACTCTTACCCTCCTGAACAGTGCGTCCTCTTACCGTACATGCAATTCGCGCACAAAACAACCCCGAAACGTTGTGCAAAACTTCGCAAACATAATATTGCACTGTACAGTATTTCCCCAGATAACCTCACAAGTTTCCCACAACAATCACGGAAATGTACCTTATCTCAACTGCCAAGTATCAAAATTATTGTACCATATCATAATAATATCATAACGCTCGAAAATAATATTCATCGCCTTAAACTCAACAGCGTCGCCTCTCAACGCCCACGTTCCGTTGGTGACATGCACGCACTGGCGGCTTCATGTCACTTCATGAACTCTACAAACCCGCGTTGCTAAGCAACCGAAACAGCTGATGCGTACTCTTATCGCCCGCGTACTCTTACCCGCCCTTACCCTATGCCTCGTATTTTGATTATTTCGATGTATTTATATGTTATGCATATGTCGTTTGCGGCAGCGATTTGAATAAGCGGCAGTGTCATGCTATTACGCTTGTCCGCTCACCAATATCTTTCAAACGACTTCCATCGGCCCCTTCCCCGCGAGCATTTAGTGAGATCTCTGTCGATAGATGGCACTGGCATCAAACGCCTGAACTGATGCTGTGCCGCATTACACAGCATGCGAAGTGGGCTGTGCGGCTTGATCTGATGAACCAGCTCAAGTCGTATGCTTGTCACGTGTTGAAAGTAGGCGGATTTAGTCGTACAAAGGAAGCAAAAACATTAAAAACAAATGTTCTTATACGATGTAGACAGTGGCCAATGTTCTTCGCAGTTTTCCACGTCTTGTCTAACTCGATGTTATTTTCTTTACGCGGCAAGGCTGGAAAGGTGAGTGCAAGTGGCTGTTTGGTGCCTTGATTTTCCCAGACAGATTTCAATTACAATGTTGTTGATGAATTATTTTCCTTGGTTGGAACTTGGAAGCCCATTGTGCTTAGTTTCAACGCGCTGCTCAGCTGATATTTGACACCAATAGCACTGCTCCCCATCACATCTCTCGTTTGGCCCTCCGGCCGCCGCTGTGTTGCTACTCGCTGCAGTATCGCCGTCCTACTCTCTATGCTGCCGGTCGTCCGCTGGCAATATCGGGGCGCGGAGTATCATTTATCGGAATCGACTATCATTTATCGGACTGGACTATCGAGGTCACCGCGGGGTGTGGTCGTTCCTTGTTCTGCCCGCCGGGCGCTTGACACACCAAACACTAGAGGGCGTGGTCACCAACCATCGGGCTATAGGGCGGCCACCGGTCAACCCAGTCACATCAGGGCAGCTGGGAGCTAGTATCGCCATTTTGCAAATCGGAGCCATGCTATCTTTTATCTGTATGCCACATTAGCGATCATGCTACTCAGAGGTGAAACAGAGTTAGCGGTCAATGTTTTATTCGGCAGGACATGTCAAATGATGTTCTTTTGTGAAAAATTCAATTGATATTTTATGGCCATTTATTTTACATGTCTAACAGCTGCGATTGTTATGCAGGGGCGTTCGACCATCTGACCCCACCTTTTCCCCTCCAGGGGTGCCCGACCCGCCGGTGGACGTCCAGTGCGAGCTGGGCCCGCAGGAGGGCAGTCTGCTGGTCACCTGGCTTCCCGTGACCATCAACTCCACGTCGGGTACCAGCAACGGCGCGCCCGTCACCGGCTACGCCGTCTACGCCGACGGCAAGAAGGTCACCGAGCTCGGCTCACCTACAGGTCAGTGGCCGGCGGAACAGGTCACCGGGAGGTCATCGGGAGGTCAGCGAGAGGTCAGCGAGAGGTCAGCGGGAGGTCACTGCGAGGTCACTATGAGGTCATTAAGTGGCCACCAGGTCAGCGAGAGATCACTGGGGGATCTTCCAGGTCAGTCGCGGCAAGATGAGCGAAAGGTCCCCGGAAGGTCAGCGAAAGGTCACTGGGAGGTCACTTGGATGTCTCTGGGAGGTCAGCTTGAACAGACCCGCTAGAATGGGTCACTTGTCATGACAGGATAGTTGCAGCGGCCATCAGGCATCAGGCTGCCTCCCCAAATGGTCTTACCGGCCTTCACTTGTCTATCCACTGATTTATTTGTTATGAAAGTAGGTTATGAAAGGTCGTTATGCAGAGCCCATTCATCGCAGTTAAGTGGATTCATTTCTTAACCCGTCCTGCAAACCGGGCTGCTACATTTGTTGTAGTGACAAGCGACCCTGGGGTGGGCTAATTTGCAAGAGTTCAGCGTGAAACGCTACAGAATAGCAACGGGCCAAATGCAATTACGACAAATGAGCTGACGCTATCCCCTCTTGGATTATGCTATGCTGTATGCTTAGATACATTAGGTAATACAACTTACGTATTACATCCCATTCGTCATTCATGATAATTAGGGAGCAAAATTCAGCTTAGGAAACTTGCTGAAAGTGATTCATGGCTAACATTTATTATGGAAAGAACATATTATGAGGCTATTGTTTCTCATCAGTCTTATTTACCGTGAGCCTCGAAGAACGCTTGCTGATATAATAAAACATAAGTAGGTATAAGTATAACGAATTTGCAAGCATTCGCTTTACGCCTAAATCACTTCAATGAATCTGTTTGTTTACAAATGATTGCTTATGCATCCAATTAGAATTTAAACTGTGTTTAAAGGTGTTCAGCACTTAAACACCTCGAGCTATTTTTGCCGCCTTCTTTGACACTAACGGGCCGTGAGGTGGCGAGTGTGATCGATGGTGCCAGACAGGTCATCCCACGGGCCGCGTGCCTGGCTGATCAGTTGAGCTGTCCACGGCCAGGATCACTCATTATGTGGGTAATAAATTAGCCTGTCGTCCGGCCGGGCGCCGCGGAGCGGACGGCGGGCGGGACCCGGTGTCTATTTCGGTAGGCCTGATCGATTCCGCGCCGGCCCGGTCGGTCGCTCGCGGTCGCTGTGTTCAGCCCAGGGCTGCGGAGTCGATGGATTTTCGGCGACTCTGACTCCGACTCCGACTCCGGCTTTAAAAAACCAGCTCCGACTCCGACTCCGACTCCGGGCAGAATTGTCGACTCCGACCGACTCCAACTCCCGACTCCGACTCCGCAGACCTAGCAGGGCTGCGGAGTCGACAGATTTTCGGTGACTCCGACTCCGACTCCGGCTCGGGTTTCTAAAATCGACTCCGACTCCGACTCCGACTCCGGTCACAACTGTCGACTCCGACCGACTCCGACTCCGACTCCGACTCCGCAGCCCTGGTTCAGCCACCGCCAAAGTTGGCCGACCGCTGCTGTCAGCGGCTCTATCTGAGGGAACAGCTAGCCACTCCCGGCACCAGCCGAGGGCGCCGGGAACACAGCTATTTGCGGCATGCTGCGGTTCAAGGTGGACAAGGACCCCAGCGGGAGCGTCTCATGGGGGATAGACGCGAGTCGAGCAGCACTGTGGGCTGTGTAATGCGCAATGTTTTGTCTGATCACGTTCTAATCCCACGTCTATCATCACCTCCGTGAGACTAAAACCGGCAGCTGTCGAAGCGGAACACATGCAGCAAGGCTGATTGGACACGCTGAGCCAATATTTACAGCGCCTGCGATCGGAGTGGCGACCCCGTCGGGTCGACCTCGCCTGCCATATGCCGGGCTCGAGTGCTTCTCATCGGCGCGCTACGACCCACATGGGTGGTCCGATACCCCCGCGGGCTAGTGACGGGTCAGGGCGGACCTGATAAAGGTCAGCAGACCGTCAGGCGCCGCTGTCCGGGCCAGACGATGGAAAAACGCCGCCGACACCGCGCGGGCAGACCGGTGCCGATTGAGAGCAGATCGAGTCCCTGTCTGCCGGCCGGACGACGGCGACAGCGACGGCGGCTCAGACTGCCATATTCAGTCCCGGCTAAAGTTAGCTGATGACTTCATTCATCCAAATGGTGGCGATTTTCTCGGCCTAATATCTTTCAAGCCATGCTATGCTGCCAATACTATGTTGCCATCAGGGCGATGACTGTTGCCAAACTTTCAGCTCATGGGATTGCACGAGACCTTTGAAGCTCGAAGCTAAACTCATACATTTTGAAATTATTTATTAGTTGTACCTATGCATAATACTTTTCAGTACATGGATATACATTGGCAACGCATGATTCGGCCTTCGGAGAGTCTGCCACTAATTCAATGCTTATAAGACAATGTAACGCTTTATTCGCAGTTTCACTGGCGATGTTCAGAGAAGGCCAGGCCGTTGCCCCAGCTACGACCGGTTTTAGCATCACGAGTAATGCTTAAAACCGCATGACGATGCATGACAAGGAATAACGAGGCTCGAGGCTCGTTGCCCGTTCACCCTTCACCGCCGCCCCGCTCGGGTCCGCTAGAAGTTATTTATTTTATTATGTATTTCATTCATTGTTAAATGCAGCGGCCGGGTGACTTCTTCACTATATTTGGCGGTCGTTTTTCATAAAATGCACCTGTTTGCGCCCCAAATTCGACGTTCCTCTACTTGGGATCCATCGTCCTACTTTCTCACACCAGTCTCTTATAGGGTAACACATAAAGATCCCACCCCCGCAGTTTAATATTACATACGAAGTCATCATTAGCGAGATGCCCTACAAAGCGTCGTTTCCGTCATTCGTACGACGTCTCTATCGGGATACAGCGTCCGTCCCTTTGGCCGCTCGGCCGGGGTGACGCCGGCGCCCCATCTCGTTTCCCACACCGCCGCGCCGTGGCTCTGTAACGTCTCCTGCCGACATCCAGCCCCAGTCGGGTCGATGGCACAGGCTGAAATCGCTCACCAGGTCCACCGACCGGGATTAGACTGGCCAGATGGGAGCAACACCTTTCATTGGACTGCACCGATCGATCGGCTGACTCCGAGTCCGACATCGACTCGGAGTCTGAGTCGGTCAGACTCGGTCGGGCGGGTCGGCCGCCGTAACGATCGTGTGTGGGCCGCGCCGCCGGAGGTCGCGGGCGGCTGGGGGGACCGGCAGCCGGCAGTCGGTGCTCCGGCGTCCGACTGAGTGGCGGTGGCGGGGCCAGGTGCGGCCGGGCTCGGCAGGTGGATATCGAGGTGGTAGGTGGCAGTTATACAGCGTATAGGGACTTAATGCCGCAGGTGGTGTTAAGGTGCGACAGGTGGGTTTTAGTGGCAGATGATGTTTAGGTGCGGCACAGGTGGGAGCCAGTGTCGGCGACCTCTCCCGCAGGGGAATCAAGTCATTAAATTCCTAACTTCTCACCCACTTCTCTGTCTGACATTTGGCCTCTGACCCCCCACCATTGACCGCTGATTTCTGACCGCCCTGACATTTGACCACCCTGTTTTGTCCGACAGGTGACCACGCGCTGATCGAGCTGAACAGTATCGCTGGCTTCCACCCCCGCCAGGTCACCGTTCGCACCAAGTCGCGTGACCTGGTGTCGGCCGACTCAGTGCCCTGTCCGATCCCGCAGCGGGCTCAGCGCAAGGTGAGAGCCGGAGAGCGGAAGGAGGAGTGGAGAGGCAGTGATGAGCACGTCTGGTTTATTTCGATAAACTACTGATCTTGCATGGTGTCGGTCTCCTAAGTTTTATCTCCATAAGGGGGATGCAGGATACTGATAAAAACACAAATCGGTGTGTTGACTTAAGCTTTACTATGGTAGAAACACTACTGTCCTATTGCTATCCTTAAAGGGACTATCCCACCTTTAACATGGGGTTTGAGTTGAGATAGCCAAGTTTGCGGCGAGGTTCAGAAACCACTATCTATCTAGGTTGCAACCCCCGCGGCCTCTTGGTGTTGAAGAAATTCGTTCCCTTCATTTGAAAATGGGCCTTGTACAAGGCCCTATCTTCAACATGGAGCGACCGTTAGTGTGACGTCACCTCGTTTAGTCATTCTGATTTAAATGGGTTTGTTCGTTGAAAAATCGCTTAAAACTTGGTCTGAACTTTGTTGTGGTGCCTACAGAGTAAAAAGAATCAGCTTTATGACAGTAATGTGGCCTGGGGAAGGAGGTAATTTTGAGCTGTGACGTCACATATTTGAAAGTTTGTGTTTGGAATATGGGAAGCCTAAGATGTTTAATGAAAAATAAATGCCAGAACCGTGTTCCTGGTCATCCAATCTATAAAGTCGGGCACAATTTAACTGGTTTTAACAACATTTTAGAAGGTAGGATAGTCCCTTTAAGAATCTTGCCGCCGCGATCAAAACCATCACCTCACTAATATCCTGATACGTTGCCGTCTGATTCCATCGGGTGTCCGTGTGACGGCTGTCAGCCGGACTGCTCGCTGTCGGGATGTTGAATCCCACTGACGCCACGTGTCTGGGGCGCCGTTTCCGACGGCAGCTAATTAGCGTAATAAGCGGCCGGGTTGCCGGGCGCCGGGCGTCGCCTCGTGCCGAGGGTGGGTGACGGTGAGCCGGTGCCTGCCGGAGGTGATCCCGGAGCCGGATCTAGTTCATACGGCTGGGTGCACCACGCGGAACGCTGGGAGCAATAAGGACCACCCCGTAGGTCCTTCAACGCAACACCCTCAGCTCCGTTCGCTGAAGACAATATCGCGAGTTTAAAGTGCGGTGACCTGAATAATGAGTACTGGCCACTGGGTACCTATTCAACAGTCTTTTGCTGTTTAGTACTTCCGAAAACAGTTTCTGACTTAGCCCCAGATGTATTCATATGTTCATAGTTACCTACTTTTCTACAGAGGTTATCGCAGAATCGCATGGTTAGCTCTGTGTAGAATTCACATTTGTATATACCTACGTTTTTAGACTGTTTCGTTTTGTTGTCATTTGAGTTTGTATGTTGTTTGTTTGGTTGGTTGTTTGTTTGATTATTGATTGTCATTTACGCAGCATACCACCGACTGGTGCTGTTTGTTGGCCTCAGACCGTTTTGAGCAGTGCCTGTTCCGTTCGAACTGCATGCTTGTTCCGTGCGTGTGTAGCCGCGTGTGTCTGAGCAGTGGCATGTCTGTGGTGGCCACTCGCAGAGCGGTTCGGAGCCGGGCACCGACCCGGCGGACGGCGGAGGCGGCGACCCGGGCCAGCCGCCGCCGGCGCCGCCCGACCCCGAGCTGTACAACATCCTGGCCAACACGGCCGAGGCGCTGCCGCCGCCGCCGCCCGCCTACTCCAGCCAGGTATATACAGTCGCCCGTACATACGCTGAGAACACTACGCTCCAGTCAGGTTCACACTACACAGTACACAGTCAGGTACAGTATACAGGGCTATGAGTACACTCAGTGGTACACCCTGAGTACAATGACCCACGGCTAAATTGTAAACACCCCCGGAAACTGTGGCTTCTTAGTACAGCTATGCGTAGCATATGGTATTTGATGCACGCTACTTTGGCAGGAAGATTTATTCTGAGAAGAAAAAAATTGTTTCGTTCAGGCATGGCCACACCTGTATGACCGTAAAACTAGGATGGGTACACGGCTTATAAATGTCGCACAATATTTGCAATGAACAGTTTAAAGTGCAACAAACTGGTCGATCTAACACGTGTGCATTTTTTGTTTGTTTTACAATGGGCCTAGATTATAACAATTACTATCAAAAATTATGTAAGTTAGGTAAGCTGAAAGTATACAGATATCTCCGAACAATTCCCAGCATGTGATTGGCCCCAGGCTTCGCCGATTTACTTACCTATGCTTGATAATTTTCAATTTTGTTGCTTTACTTTTATCAATGCTGCTTGCATGTTACGTCAGCCCACATTTTGCCTTGTTTTGTGCTGTCTTTTGTTGTGTTCGCTAGCGTTCGTCCCTTTTTGTTGGTCTCATGTTGTGATTAGTTTTGTCCGGGTGTTGTATTTTGTTTTGCCGCGCCTGACCCCGTTCCCGCCCGGACCACACACAGTTCGCCGAGTATGAAACTGACGAGCTCTCCGACATACCTGAGGAGGCCGAAAACGAGCTCTCCGACTCGGTAAGAACACGATCCAAACACCTCACTCTACGGAACGAGCAGTCGCTAATCGACGACTGTTTACAACGCAAGACCGCCCTACATTAAATTGAATTTCGTTCATAATGTACAGCTCTGTTGTCTCTTGCCTTGAAAATATTATTAATTGTTATGATGATGTTTTCCGTTACCATTTCGACTTACCGTAAATTGAGGTAATAAAAGTCATTCAGCAGGGCTATTGTTTGTAAATAACTATATCTGACTTTTATTATATTCCGACTGCGAATACCGTCAGACCGTGGTATGAGTACCAACAATTTAAAGACGAACATTTCCTTCTCAAAAGTGATCGGTTCGCTTGATGTTGCCATTTGAGAGCCGGTAGCTTTTATCAGTGTTCTGTTATGAGCCCATCAGGGTTGGCATTTTTGCCGGCAAAAACTAGTTTTTGCCATTTGCCGGTTTTAACCGGTTTTAACCGGCAAAAAGTGGCAAAAACTGGCATAAACTAAAAACCATCCTAATGTCACCCCAGGCATGTTTCTAATCATATCACATTCGAAGGATTCAATTAAAGCTATGTGCTTTCAAGCAGAAGTGAGATTTATATTGATAATTTCAGTGCTATAAGTTATGAAATCCTAAAATGATTTACATGTCCTTTCCATAATTTGGTAGCAAAATTATCGTTTTCTCCTATTGTGAGGACAGATTTCCATGTTCCATGTGAAAGTTTTCACTTTCACTTCATTTGCAACATTTGAACAAATGAATGGGAAAAAACTATATTTACACTTCAGTTCTAAGTGTAAATAAGATGTAGACAAGGTGTAACTATCATCTGAAATGATTACTTTAAACAATAAGTTGATCTTACTCCTGCTTATGTTTATGGACTTACTTGGCGTCAACAGAGGCAAAGTTTAGCAAGGAACGAGATGTCACACCTGGGGCCGTATTCACGTCGACTTCGTAAGTCGATTTTCTTTCGTAAGTGTAATTTGGTATTCACGTCGACACTTCTTAAGTTTTTATCGACGGAGTTCACGTGATTAAAAAAATTAACTTAAGAAGTAGGTCAAACTTAAGAAAATTCTTACGAAAATGATCGACGTGAATACGGCCCCAGGAATGAAAATGTTGCGCCGTGTTAGCTTCATTATTTGGTAGCATTTAGAAGCAATCACGAAGAAATGCCCCTACTTGTGAGCTGCCTCCTAGTCCTATTGCAATTGTTCGTCTTATATTGTTATTTACGATATTTACTTGAGTATGCAACTTTTTTTTCGTACTTTTGACTTTTAAAAATATAATTTTTAGTACTTTTTTCTTTGTTCATCAAAATGAGTTTATTACGACGTCCTTCTTAGAACTTGACTTACCGACAGTTGCTTACTTTTTAAACTTCCTGTCATCTACTGCTTCTGCTAGTTTTCGAGTGTAAACAAACCCACGTGGCTGAGGGACTCGATTTGGACGGATTGGTATGCTGTAGTTATATTGGGAGCGTGAGTGTGCTGTGTGGGCGTGCTTATATTTTGGTGATTGGTCTCGACTCTCGTTTCCATCAAAGCAAACCCTTAAAGATGACCGGGAGGCAAGGCGGTCGTCCACCCGCTTCTATACGAAGTGCTTTTGAGCAGAAGTCTGTGGATGGACGGATGTGCATGATCTGCCCGTCCTGCGGCAGGGCGATATCTGATCGGCCCAAACGCCTGTCCATGCACTATGATAACTGCCCAGCCCTGAAGCGTTCGAGGACCAGTAATGACGGAACAGACACCGAGAGTGATGACGTAAGCATCGCGTCCGATCAACAATCCCTGCCTGGACCGTCGGGATCCACATCTAGATCCAGGCCGCGCCAACAGCACATCACCAACTGGACATTCCGTACGAGCGACCGACTCAAGGAAGAACTGGATCTCAAGGTAGCAAAGTTTTTCTATTCCAAAAACATCAGTTTTAACACCAGCGAGTCTGCTCACTTCAAAGATCTCGTGAGCAGTCTGCGACCAGGCTATGATCCTCCCAACCGCAAGGCCATCGCGGGACGTCTGCTGGACCAGACCTACGACAAGATGAAGGCCGAAATGAGGGAGGCTTTGGCAAAGACGTCTGAGGTCACGCTGGTGCAAGACGGTTGGAGCGATGTGTCCAACTCGCCTGTTATCGCTCACACGATCCACGCGCCCGGCGGTGGGACGTTTTTCTTGAACTCGAAGTGGGTGGAGGACATGCCGAAAACCGCAGAAAACTGTGCACTGCTGGCCGAGGAAGCTATTGAAGAAGCCCGGTCGCAGTACGGCGTAAAAGTGACGGGTCTCGTGACGGACAATGCCAAGAACATGCAGAACATGAGAAGGATAATAAACCAACGACACCCCGAAATAGCCGTTTGGGGCTGCGCCTCTCATCTTCTGAACCTGGTGGGCAGTGCAGTGACGCCCTCGGACATCATGAAGTACGTGGTCGCGGTTCACAAGTGGTACCGAAACCATCACAACGCTGGAGCCTGGCTGGCGCAGAAGGAGGGCACGGTGCGACCGCAGCTCCCCGCAGAAACTCGATGGAATTCTCAGGTAAGAACTTGCTGACGGCCGCTGGAATACATTCATCGGTTTGACACAGACTGGCGCCAACGGCTAAAGTATCAATGGAACAATCCCAAATTAAATTGGAGCGTAAGCGATCCCATGCACAATTATTTATAGGTTTTGTATGGAGCGGTAAAAATATTTTTTTATTTCGCAATTTATATCTTCATTTTACATTTAGTATATTAACTTAACATTTAAGTACAACCATAGTGAACGTTAAACAGTTTTGTGTATGCATACGCATTTTAACAAATTCAAAGTCTTCAGCCGCTCATAAAAGTAATCGCCGGCAATGTTGTACAACTCCCTGAACTGCTTTGGCAGGTGGACACGCTGAAGAGCTTCATCAGGAATCGGCAGGCTTACGTGGCCATCAGCGCCGAACACGAGCCTGAGATGGACGAGACGGTCACCCAGCGTGTCAACTCCCTCGGCCTGTACCGCAGCATACAGGATCTCGTCTGCCAGCTGGAGCCCATAGCTGAAGGAGTGGATCGGCTGCAGTCGGATTCGGCGACTCTCGCCGACACCGTGGCGGTTTTCCAAGACCTGCTGGACAACCAAGCCCTGGCGCCGCACCACGCGACACTTGAGCGCCGGAAGTCGCAGGCAGTCACGTCACTGCACCTCGCGGCGTACCTCGTCCACCCCAGGTATATGGGCCAGAATCTCACTACCGAGGAGTTCGATGAGGCCATGGCGCAGTTCAAGGAGGACCTTCACCCACAGATAACTAAGTTTCATGGCCAGCTGCCACCTTTCCCAAGCAGCTTCTTTTCGGCTGGGATGAAGCAGCTGCCTCCAACGGAGTGGTGGTGCGGGGCTGCCCAAAGGCCTGGGGTGAGCAAGGAGCTGGGAGATGCAGCAATGAGCCTCCTCTCAAAGCCGCCGTCCTCCGCGTCCATAGAGAGAACTTTCAGTAGCTTTGGACTTGTCCAGACCAAGCTGCGAAACCGTCTTGGGCACGCAACCGCGGAGAAGCTCGTCTTCTGCTACCGGATGCTCCAGGGAACTGCAGCAGAGGACGATGACGAGTGAAGTCCAAGGGGAGGGGAGCTGAGGGGGCGGGGTCAAGCTCATACCATTCCTGACAGTCCTGAGAGTCATGCTTTTCAGTTATCTGTGTATGTTTTGTGAGAGTGGCTTGCCAGGTGCAAGACAGACCAGAAGTCCGAGCGTTGGACTTAACCATTTCACCGTTCGTTAAACTGGGCTGTTGCCCTGTTCCCGGATTTCCGAAGAGGAATCCAAGTATTGAATAGTGTTTGCTATTATGTTTCAGGCGTGCTCATTTGCCTGTATGCTTTTTCTGATTGTGTTTTGTGTTCCAGTGGAGTGAGTAACGCAGAAAAGTGGAACAAACTTGATAATACAATTTTAGAAGCAATTTAGCATGTTTGTCTGCGAATAGAGAATGTAAAATATGGCTAATGATTAATAAGGAACATGGACATGCAACAAGAAACTTATGAGGCGAAGTTCAGCATGTTTAGTACTTCCAAATAGCTTCTAGACATGTGTTTTACACCCAAAGTAAGAACTAACTAAAAAAGCAGCCAGGTTTGAGCCACTTGAGTTTTTGCCAGTTTTTGCCAGTTTATGCCACCTTAGTTTCTGCCAGCCGGTTTAAACCGGTTAAAACCACTGGCAAAAACCAGTTTTTGCCACCCCTTGCCAACCCTGGAGCCCATAAGTACGAAATATTGGTTGTTGGTTTATAACTGGTTCTTGGAGAGGCTGAGCTTCCAGCTGAGTGAGTTTGGCCATTACGACCCATCATTTGTAGCATAATCAAATATTAATTTGTTTTTGTTAAGGTGGCTTGCCATCAATTCACATCACCATAAAATTACATGGTCTTGGAAAAGCATATATGTGTTTTGTTCTCGCTAAGCTTTAGTCTATCAACGTACCATGATCATGGAGTAGCCTCACCAGGGTGAGTAATGAAAATATTAGCAATTCCCGCTACTCTGAATATGGTGGTTTTATGCAATACATAAACGCAAAAAAAAAAAATACTTCGATCTCAACAAAGAATTGAAAAAGGATTTTCACGTAATCTGACGCATAATAACATCAGAACCCTGAAGTTTCATTGAAAGATGCCTATGTTATCACTCTGTTAACAAATTATTTTAACGCTTTATGGCTATTGGCCGGAGAGAATACCAGCACGGTACCCCCCAATCGCCTCTCATTGCTTGGGCGCATCGTTCAAATATTTGCCAACATACCCTCAGTATGCCTCAGTGCATGTTTGCTGAGCAGTAACGAGTATCGTAGGGCGGCACAAATTACTCTTTATTGGCCCAACAAAGGCCCAGATAAGGGCCTTCGTAAGGGGTGGTAGAAAGCTACAGCGATGTTGTACCTATGTATTAGGTATTGTACTCGTAGATATTGAACTTTGTCCATTGCAGCAGCCACCACCCATCGATCGATTGCAGAACCATACAATGAGCGCCGGATATGTATAGCGGCACAGCATCCAGCAGGCGTCATGATGACAGAGCCATCTATTGGCAAAGACTAAAAACTGGTGTGTTGCGGCACAGCATTATTCAGGCGCGTACTATGCTGCCATTTATGGGAGAGCAGTGTAAACTAGCCTCATGCACCCAAATACACTTCCGGCATCGGGTGGCGACCTTACAGCCTCTCCGTGTCTGGAGATGCCGACATATGCGAACCCTGCCGTGACACCACGTATCTCCCTCTCTCCCTCGGCTGCCGTCAGGACCAGCAGTCGGAGTCGGGGCGGATGAAGTCGCAGCACGACCAGGCCGGCTCGGCGCACTCGTCACCGCTGGCCGGCCGGCGGCGGATGCCGGCCGCCGGACCGTCACGCGGCCACCCGCACCAGCAGCAGGTGCTAGTCACTGAGGAGAACCTCAGCGACAAGGAGGTCTACCCCAGCGGCTACATGTCGATCCCGCAGATCGGTGAGTCCCCCGCCCGCCGCCGGACGGCCCAGGCAGGCCATCGGGCGTCCGGGAATCAACTTGGAACGTACACGGGAAAACGATCGCCCAACAATGGGTGAAGTTCGCCCAACTCTCGAGCAGCCTGCCATGAGTTCCGAGATAACGCAGATATAGTTCGGCCGCCGGCCATCGGCTCCGCCGGCCGTCGGAGCGGCACTGGCCGTCCAATCGAGCGCCGTATGTCTGTCGCCGACAGAAATCACCAAGGACTCGGCGAGCGAGGGCCGCGGCTCTGTGGACGCAAGCGAGGAGGACTGCGACCACCGGGGCCTGCGGGGTCGCCGGCGGGGCCCGGGCGAGCGCGGCCGGCCGCCACCGCCGCCGCCGCACGACCCGCGGCAGCAGCGCCACCGGCCGCCGCCCGCCGACCCCTACCGCGACAATAACTACGCCGGTACGTGATCAGACTATACCGGCTCCAGTTTAGATTTATTTTAGGTTGAGATTAATGTTATAATTAGCAATAAGGCTTACACGGAGGTCTACCCCAGTCTACTAATACCCCGGTACACGTTCAGAGTTTTGACTGTTCTGATTCTTGATCATGCGGCCCCCGTTACATGCATTAAGACTTCCACTAAAGTTTGTGTTTCAATCGCTCGTGGATTGCAATTTGCAGACCTACAGCGACAGCGCGAGACCCGACTTTGCCGGCTGTCCGAGTTACATTATTTTTAAACGTAATTTTTCCTCTGAAGTGCACACTTCAACGGAAGATATTCCGTCGTTCCACGAAAGCTGATCAACGGTAGTGCATTAAAAGCACTCGTGTCTGTATACGGGCATCATTGTGGACTTGTTTTCATAAATTGCTCTGGCGTGCTCCCGGCGACGCGACCGCTGAGTATGTGGGCCGGGTGGTGTATACCGCGGCACTCTGGCGCCGGCTGGATTTATCTGCGGCTAGCAGACGGCTCCAGGTCGTGCATGAGCCACTTGCCATGCAGCCCCGGGGCCGGCTCATATTCCGGCGGCTGGCGCCGTCAGTTCACAGAACATCAGCATTCAGAGCGAGTATCGACGAGACTCAGAAAGAGGCGCCGTCCTGTCGCGCGTGCCTGTCTCATAGCTCTGAACCGAGCTCATATTATCATACCGGCCTCATGAACCGGTAAATCGCAAGTTTTGTGTTTGATTTAGTTTGTCTGGTGAACTGAAGCTTACTTCCATTTTGTCGTATCCGATCGCATTAATGACACCAAATGAGCATCTCTCAGTTAGTCTCCCCGATATCGTGGGAAGCAACACTTCGGTTTTGTATTTTTGTAAGTGACCTGTTCATTTTCACTTTTGCACCCTATCCATCATCGCTCTCAAGCCCAGTATCCCTCACACCGATCCCATTGCCCGTCTCTGCAGGCGGCAATCACCGGAACGACGCCCAGAGCGGAGCGCCTCCGCCGCCGCGCCGCGCCGCCGGGCCGCGCGAGGAGCGTATGCGCATCTTCGTGGCTCTGTTCGACTACGATCCGCCGACCATGTCGCCCAATCCGGACGCCTGCGACGAGGAGCTGCCGTTCCGAGAAGGGCAGCTCATCAAGGTGGGCGAGTGGGCGCCGACAGCGGCGGCAGCGGGCACGTCTTTCGGCGGACTTAAAATAGATGCGGCTCATTTGGGGGCTCCGAGCTCAATTATAATATTTTGGGCGGGATGGTCATTCGTAGGCACTCATTTGTTATAAATATCTGATGGCTTACGTTACAATTTTACTTTGCATTATTATCATACACAGACTTCTCTATATATGGACTGTGCGCTGATTTGGGAAATCAGCATTGGAGGCCCAAATTTCTGAAGCCGTAATATGAACCCATATGTTGTAACACAACACAATACCCTTTTATTGTTTCCTGTCGACAGGCTGAATTTTATGTAATATATTTTGTTTTTGTACTATCTATTGCTCGTAGCTCAGAATAAGAAAGGCTTCTGGTCGATATGAATCTGTATTGGAACATCATTTCACGTTCATCGACACCCATTGATGTCCTCATGTCAAGTTCATCTCACATTGCACCAGTGGGCTTGAAAATGGCGTTAGTCCATTTTCACCGCGGGATCCAGCGAGAAAGGGTGGCTATCATCCCTTTCTTCTTCCCCCGTGTGCTGGATTGTTCACATCTCTGACATGGCTGGCTACAAACTCGCGCGACAGTGCACCGACCGCGCTGGTGGTAAAGGTTGGCGGTAATGCCGATGGGGGACTTTACGGGAAAATGTGTGTCTGCTGCAACGGTGTCTTCACTGTTCTTCTCTGCTACCCACTTTTTCGCACCACGCATCTACACATAGTCGCACTTTCACACATTCGCACATGCGCATCACCAATTGCAACGTATCCCTCCGTCTGCTCGTTTTCCACTCGCTGCTGAATGATAAGGCGATAGCTCTTGTGACGGTCGTTCCCATCACGTTGTCATGCTGTAGCTATTGTTGCTTTTATTGTGTCCCTTCGTCCCATGGAGACGTAGCCGAGCAGCTCTGAACGGACCTGTGGGCGGCCCCCAGGGCCACCACGATGCTGCCGCTCCGCACCTCCTCCATGCTGGGGTTGATGGTCGCCATCAGGCGATGTCGGGTGCCCATCAGAGCCGGGCACCGCAGGAGGACATGCTTGGGCTGTCCGCCTCCTCTCAGCAGACGGGTAGAGTGCGGCTCTGCATTGTCGGTCGTCGCACTGGTTGCACCCCGACAGCCAGGAGGGCGCCAACCCGACTCTGTGGCGCCATTGGGAGGAGCTTGTCCAGTGGCCGGCGCGGAGCTGGTGGATGTCCACCGCCGCTGGCCGGTCACCGCCGGCAACGGTAGGCGGGAGTCGATCCCCGTCAGCTGGTGGAACCAGCCGGCTGGCCAGGCCCCGACGGTGCGAGCCCTCGCCACTCTGGCGGCGGCCCAGTGGGCCTTCTGGACGTCTATAAGGATTTGTTTTTAGTCGAGTATGTTTGCCTTCTTGGCGATGGTGTCGGCCCTCTCGTTGCCCTCCAACCTGCATTGTGAGGGCACCCACTGTAGGTAGACCAACAGGCCTCCAGCGGTCAGTCCCCAGAGGGCTCTCCAGATGTCCACTCCGAGCGAGGAGTGCTGGGCGGCCCGGCCACCTCGGATGGCGGCGAGGGCGGACTGCGAGTCGGTGCAGGCTACGATGGTGTCTTCGGCGTGCGGCGGGTTCTCCAGCAGCTAGGAGAGAGCAGCTCGGAGGGCGACCATCTCAGCTCGGAAGCTGGAGCACAGGTAACCTGCCGGGGCGCGGATCGAGTGCTCTTCCCCGTTCGGCCAAACGATTAGTGCCCCCGGCGCCTCCGTCATATTCTGTAGCTCGTTAGTTACAGTATGCTCTTCGCCCTTGGCACATTTCTTGGCTTCACCATCAAAAATGTCCACAGCTGGCCTAGAAATGGTGACCTGCCAGTTTCCTGAGATAGCCAAAGTAGAAGTTCCTGTAATAACAGGCCACCACCGGCACAGATGTTTGTCCCAGCTACTTATACTCCAATCAGTCCTATGCATCTTGTTTCTGCTCCACCGCTATTTTTCCGTCCGTTCTTCGCAGACTGGCGTATTCTTGAGCTTCCCGATCCCGATGCAAGTTTTGCGGTAACATTTAAGAGCGGCAACCTTCATCGTTTAACATTGATGCGAAGGGTACGAATTCCATCGTTTCATCGAGCATTCTTCCGAGATGATTTGATCCAGACCATAATGAACTACAACCCCATACGACACATTGGATAAACTTCATTGTTTGATTGAATAAGCTTACTTCTTTTGGATGTAGTGGCGTATCACTGCCATGGTGGGTATGGTATTATTTAGCGCGGCGTAGCTTCGAACTGCGATGGCGAGTTGTTCTTTTCACATTAACTGCTGGTCAAGTTAAGTCTTTGTAGCTCCTTTCAGTGAGTCTTTTTTTCTCCAGAATAAAATAAGGCACTAGGCATTATAGAAAGTATGCTGAGACTGGCGCCGTCGATAGCGTCCTGTTTTTCTTCTTGCTGTGTGAGTCTCACAGGAGTCAGTGTTTGCAAAAGTAAACTTGCAAATCTGATTGTCCTCAGCGTTATCTCTTATCTCGATTGATGGTTTCATCTGTGAACATTTTTTCCTTTTAGTTACACGGGAGGCTAAAAAGTTGCCTTTTTGCTAGAAATTATGTTTCGTTTCACATTTGTCTTGCCCTGACTCTGGCTTGATACCCGGAATGACATCTTCGTACCACACGTTTTCTGATCCGGTCGTGATGAGGTAGTGATCGATAATATTCTTTCCTTTTTTGACCATTTTTTTCGAGCTATTTCTTACTTATTTTTACTGCTTCTTGTGGCCCTATATAATGTATCTTTATTTCTCAAAACCCTTTTCAAAACCAACGTTAGTTCCCACAAATTAGCAACGACAACCAACAATGCAACGAATGCAACCAGCATTCAAAAGCAAGAAAATGCGCGCAAAGTACGGCTGCATTTGTGAAGTATATACCTCCAGCGTGAACAAATGGCTAACTGAACGAGAAAACATGTTCTCATTTATATACATTTATTTCTTATTTATTTTGAATTCAACAAAAAATGTAATCCAACAGGTAGATAAAAGTATGGGCTATCCTATATCCAAATTCGTAAATATTCTGACACCCTTTTCATTGTAAAAAGATGGATAAAAGTGCACTTATTTTTGGGCCTCCAATGCTGATTTCCTCGGATCAGCGCACAGTCCATATATAGAGAAGTCTGTGTATCATATCATGTTGATGTTATGATCCCTAATTTTACATTCATTTTCCTTTCAGATATACGGCGACAAGGACGGTGACGGTTTTTACTGGGGCGAGGCGTCCGGCCGGGCGGGCTACGTGCCCTGTAACATGGTGTCGGAGGTGCAGGTGGACGACGAGCGGCTGGCGCAGGAGCTCCTCAAGGAGGAGGACCGGCCGACCGGTGAGGAACGGGATGAGCACAGGGGCGGGGTCGGGCAGAGGTAGCGGGACTGCGGGCTGTAGTTACGGGGAGGCCAGTTGGGGTGAAGTCGAACAGTGACACTTCTTTTGATTGAAGTGAGGATTGTGGAGTCAATTACATACGCTAGAATATTAGATGAGACTCAGTCAATGCATGGCGCCGATATCATGGCATCTGATTTTCAGGAGCTCAATTCCCCCAGGGTAACCTGGGACCGCCAAAGATCACGTCTCCTACCCGCCCTCTCCACAGCTCGGGGTCGTTCGGGCGGCGGGGGCGGCGGCGGCGGCGGAGGTCGGCCCCGCAGCGGCCAGGAGGACCGCTGGGGCGACATCTACTCGAGCACGCCCGTAAGGCGCATGGTGGCGCTCTATGACTACGACCCGCAGGAGCTGTCCCCCAACGTGGACGCCGAGGTCAGTGACGCTATGCAACTGTGACGCAGTAACTGTCACTGATGGTGGCTGTCGCTTGCAGAAGACCAGCCGTGGCTCGAACAGATGCATGGGATACGGTGTGACGAATGGCGTCATCCGAATTTATTCACCAGATCCTGGCAGGCATAGCAATCAGCAAAAGGTCGTCGGCGATCGGACTTTGGATTCTGAATAATTGTTTCCGACAAAAGATCCCTTCATTTGGCTAGATAACACGAAATAATCATTAGGCCACCCCACTGAGTGATTCGCCGCCTTTTGCGCCGTTGGCGAGCTATAATAGTTATTTTGGCGCTGATGGTCGATTGTGTACGACATTTATTGAAAGTTATTCGTTGGCAATATCTGACGCTATTTTATCTGCCGCCAGGTGGAGCTGTCTTTCAATACCGGTGATATTATCCACGTATACGGCGATATGGACGACGATGGCTTCTATATCGGGGAGGTGAATGGAGTGCGAGGCCTTGTGCCCTCCAACTTCCTCACCGAGACGCCGCAGGTCAGTGGGTACAGGAACACGGTTTTACCCAATTTTCATTGTGCATGTGCACAAATTGAAGGGTTTGACAGCGTGACTCTTCTTCCAGCTTGCCCAATGTTGCTAATTACATTGACTAAATGATTAAGTCTAACCTGACCTAGTCCCGTGTCCCTCCGTTTCCCGTCTGACCCGGCTCTGTATGTTTTGTGCACAGAACTACGACCGGCGCCGGGGCGGCCCCGAGGGCCCGTCGTCCTCGGAGCGGCGCGGTCCGCCGGGACCGGGCGTGCACGGTCCTCCCCTGCCGCCGCGGGACAAGGGCGACAGTCGCGACCGACGGAAAGGTGAGGCCACTCCCGTCGAGACCTGCTCCCCTCTCCCCCACCGTCCGCCGCCGCGGCAGTGCTCGGCGCCGCCTGCCCAAAGAAACGAGCGCTTGCGCGTGGACGTTTGTATGTTTGTGCATTGGCGTGCGTGAGCGTGACCGCACGCGTGTCTCCTCGTGACCCCGGTCCGTGAGGCGGGCCCGGCTCGGCTGCGAGCCGGCAGAGGACCGCCAGCGTCGTCTCGGGCATGGCAGAGGAAGGTCGGAGCCAGGCCACCGCCCAACCAGCCCGATATGTGTGTTTGTGCACGCCAGAACAGTCCGAGCGTACAGTCGCCGAGTTTGGCCAACGCTGTGCGCGCGCGCAACTTGTATTCTGTTGACCTGTCCGCTGGGAAATGTAAACGCTGAGCATTGCTGTAGGGCGTTGTCGATTATAAAGTACTAGTACGGGGTTAGTGGGCCATTTACCGTACAGACCTCTTCTGCCGCTCCATTCTTTTTTATCTGTGCTCCACGGTCCCACCTGGGACTCTCAGCTCCCTACTGTTGGTGTGCCCCACGCTGTCGCCTGATATATGCTGGCTCATATCGCTCTTTGCCACCGAGCCGATTCGGTCCCCCTCATTCTTAGTTTCCGGGTATCCTGACGGTATGCTTAGCTCCTTCTTCAAGTTCAAGTTCAGCGAGTCCTCGTCCGGTCCCGCTCCCGCAGCTCAGGTACCCAGAGTCCCACCCCTTCCTCCGTTTACGGAGTAAGTCCTCTTTATTGGGATACTCGGTGTGTCCAGTCTGTCTCACCAATTTCGTCACAAAGCGTACCTACTTGTTGCCCTGATAACGCCTCTGATAACGATTCCGCTGCCTCGGTCGACCCTCCTCGCCCTCTGTTGGTGTCGGGCGTATCACTCTCACCCTCAGTGTCAACCCCTCCGTCCCCATATGAGTGTATCTGTCGGCTGGCGCTCTCTGGCTCTCTCCCGCCGCGCTCTGTGCCGCCCCTCCGTCTCTCGGTCCCACTGACAGTGTGCTCTCGCTCTGTTTCTCCCTTTAGATCCTCCCATCTCTCACGTAGACATTAGACCCGATCTTGCCTCCGACCCCCCGGTAAGTCCGCTCAGTGCCGTCTTTCACTCTGTTTCTCACTCTGAACGCCTCAGCATGTCTTCGCCCGTCTGTTTCTTTCTCGATCCGTTTCTCTTTCTCTCTTTCTTTCTCTCCTCTCCCGCTGGCTCTGGCTGCCGCTGCACCCGCACGACGCCTTCACCGTGGCACCTGTCTGGCCGCTGCCCCGCCCCCTCCCCGGATCGGCGGCCCGGCCCGCTCCAACCCCCCACCCCCCGCCCCGCCCGGCCGTGTGCTCGCCGATGGGACAGACGGCGACCGTCGGCTGCCGGCGACGGCTCACCACTCTTTGAGAGCCGCACATTCCGAACTTTGTTCAACCTTTGTGCATAGCATTTTTTCTTTCTATACTGATAGATCGCATTGAATTTGCTGATGCATCCGCCCTCCATATGGCCCAAAACGGGTGGGATGAGATTACGCCTTCGCCACTTCACGCGCCTGTCTTCACTGCTCTCTTGGCTGTGGGGGAGGGGTGGGACGGGTCACACCCGGTGCCAGCGCCCCACCCCGGCACCGTCTCAGTAGGCTAGGTGAACACTGAGCCGGCCGACCCGCACCACACCACACCGCTAGTTACACACCTGTCTTTTCCGCCGCTAGGCTTAGGTGGTCTGTTGGGGTTTGTGGTGAGTACCCGGCGCTGCCACCAGGGCGGCGCCACTGCAGCGGCGGCGGCGCGGTGACGGCGATGGTGCCCGGTCACCCGGCTTTGCCGTCCGTCACCGCGCGGCGCCGGGCCGCCACTCTAATACATAGAGAGAATGTGGCCTGCGCTGAGACACGAGACTGGCGGCGTGCGAGCGAGCCCGGCGGGCGTCGGCTGCCGATAGTCACAGAGAGACGGCGATAGCGAGCCTGCTGGCTGCTGTACATAGACGCCGCTCTGTCCTGGACGCTCCCCAGATGACGATCTGTCAGCTGTCGCATGGGAGAGCTCGGCAACGTCCGCAGCTCGGCCCATCGAAGTTCGGATGGTTTGTGGATATAATAGTGCGTTGGTTTTTAAAATCAATCAAAGTAATCAATCAATCAAAGTACTACTTAACCCCGGTGTGGCTTACATAAGATGTGCTGCTGGGAGCGTCCTGCACGGAGCGGCTGGAACAAAACTAGAGGCCGATACGAGTAGGATGTAGAGATAGCCAAGCGCTGGGGTCCGCGCGAATAGCAACGGTTAGTGACCAAACAATAGTGACTAGTGAATGCCTCAGTTAGCTGCTCTGCACTCGCGGGTTGCACCGGGCCCGGGGGGGGGGGGGGCGTTCTCTCCAGACTGTCCCTCCACTGCAACTGACGGATGGCTGGGGCGCCCTGTGACCGACTCATGCAGCATGCCCTGCGGGGGAGCGCTCCGCGCCGACCGACACTGGCCGCGGCGCCGCTCGGCCGCACTGCACAGGCCGCCCGCGCGCCGGTGCCGATTTTTGAGCGGTCGCTGCCCCGGCGAGCGCTGCGCATGTGGCGCGGCCCGTAGCCTGTAGACGCCCGCGGCACACGGCTAGCACGAGCTCTGTGTCGTGTCGGTAGTGTCGTGTCAATGTTCGTGTGCAGCATGGCCCGGCGAGTGCGGGCACACCCGAGGTGCGCTGCACTCGGGGCATCACAGAAATGGACTCTCAAAAATGGACTCTCAGAGCGGAAATGATGAATGATCAATGATAATCGATGTTTGTGTACCTGCTAACTTGGAAATCGTGTCCATGGTTAAAGTTTATGGATACCTTACGCCGAACCTCCTGGAAATGAAAGCAATCCTATTAATATTGAAGCAGGATGGCCACCATAACCGACAAGTCACGCCGTGTTTCTCCCGTGTGATGGTTATCTCCTGCAGCCCCTGTGCCGGCCGTGCAGGCCACTCTGACCGCCGGCGCCGCCCCGCCGTCCACAGACTCCCAGTCAGAGGCCAGAGAACGAGTCGGCGACGAGCGCGGCGTCGCCGGCCGACGCCGGCAGCGCTGGTAAGCGGCTGCCCAACGGCGCGCCGCCCGGCCCGGCCGCCGGCGCCGAGCAGCCGCCGTCCAAGACCGGCCTGCTGGGCGGCCTCAGCAGTCCGGGCGGCTTCATCAAGGGCCTGGGCGGCGGCCTGTCGTCGGCCGCCTCCGCCGCCCGGGTGCCCAGCTTCGTCATTCCGAGCGGCGGGGGCGCGGCCGGCGCGACCGGCGCCAACGCCACCGGCGAGCCGCCGCCGCCGCCGCCGGCCGGCGACTCGGCCGGCCCCAACCTGATGCAGAAACTGGGCGGCATGACGGGCGAGGCCGGCGGAGCCGTCGAGGGTATCATGTCCAAGGGCAAGGAGCTCATCTTCAAGCGGTTCGGCTTGTGAGAGCGGCCGGTCGCGCGGCGCCCGGGCCGTGCGAGTGATACTGGCGCCGGCCGCCCGCCTCCTGTACATATCACGGCCGACCGACGCCGCCGACGCCGCACGCGTACCGTTGTTGATCACGTGCTGATTGTTATGTTGGCGCGGCGCCGACTCACCGAACGCGCTCGGCGCACCAGTCCACGCCACCTCTCGGCTTTTCTCGTGCAAATCGTGCTCTTTCTCTTTCTCTCTTCATGGTGTCTCTTTTCTCTGCCTCGAACCAGACGTGCCAACCCTGAGTGTGCGTGTGCGTGTGCGGTCTGCCGGCCGGCCGCGCGCTGCCCGCCTCCCCAATATCGTGTCGTCAGTGTGTCGGTCAGTAGTCTTCATTTCATCGGCGCCGCTCGCCGCGATTGGGGCGTGAAATGCATTCCTCTCATACGTCAATATGTCATGTTACAGTGATTTTGAATAGTCGTACGAATAAATATTTATTCCGAGCGGAGTATGTGATCCAATCGTTTTGAGTCTTTGTTTGGGGCGAGGGGGACTTTCGATGGTATTGAAAGGTTGTTTCGCAAAGAATGTAAGTATTTATTAGATGCCCTGTGCACACACCGGATGAATGAAATGTTTCATGAAATTTATACGAGACGAACAGATAGCGGAGAACGCATTTCGTATGAATTCATACGCTCGCACACAACACGACCTTTCACAAGCGCAGGCACTTTCGAACTGTAACCCGTGCATTGAGGAGGGACTCTCAAAGAGGTTTTAGGGTCTTGAGTGAGCCCAACAACGCCGATAACTTAAACCAAAATTTCAACCACGCAATGTGCCAGACACTCAGCAATCAGCATTCACGAAGGGCATTGCAACACAATGCATCTGAGGTCCAATCGTCGTAAGTATCTTGCGAATAAACTGATGCCCTTAGCACTAAGAGCGCTAGAGCAGTTATAACGACAATTTGGAAAGCCGTGCGTCCAGACTCAGTCGGTCACCTACAGCCGTGCCTGGTTTCCTGGCACCGCATCAAGGGAACAAGGTGGTCTGTACCGGGAGGTTTAAAATTAAGATTGAGTTGACTGATATGCTGACAGTTCCCTATAAACTTTAGTTATTACTGAACCTTACAAAGTTTGGCTTTCAGACGACGGCTAACCGTGAACCGAGGACCGCCGTGTAACTGACGATCATGCTTCACCTTAAATGAATAGTTCGAATCACCCTTTCATTTCCATTGTCCATGCAAAACAACCAACAATAATTTAACAAGGCCAGCGTCAATGAAAGTTAATGTAGGCAGTATCAAGCATAAATTGGCTACATTTCCTGATCACAGAGGCAGCGATTTCTTCTCAATAACGGCATCAACACTTCTCAAGCATCATGTATGAAGTGACATTACGAAACACTCTTGACACACTCAAATTCAACGTGCAACTTCGCTGTTTGTATGCACAATTCAACAACGCATATAACCACGCACAAATCGTGCCAAAGAAATCAGAAATGCACCACGCTACCTCAAACTGACGCCAAGCTAGCTGTTGGCCAAACACCATATCCTCTAGCGCCCAAATGAGAAAGTTAGGCACACATCCTTTCACTGCACACCACCTTGAACAGGTGACATCAGCTGTCTGTCAGCTTCCCCCCCTCCCCCCTCCCCGGAGAACGGTACCGCATCATGGAGTCTCCGGCGGACGGCGGTCAGCCCAGCTGGGGCAGCTTCTGCACGGCGCGCGTAATCTCGTCGATGGCCGGCGGTAGAGCGGCGGCCGGCAGCAGCAGCACGCGCCGGTACGGCGTCATCAGTGTGTCGCGGTCCGTCCACCGGCCGTCCACAGCCGTGTCCGTCTCCTCAGCCACGCTGAACTCGAAACTCGCCTCGGCCGCCTGCGGTGACGTGGCAGTGGTGAAAGTCGGGCAGAGGATAAGAAATTCCTATAAGGAAATTAGGATTATTAGACCTCGCCGGCACAGCGGGGGGGGGGGGCTGATGCAACTTAAGGGGTTCCCCCTAAGGTTTTTCGCGAATAACTCACGTAAAAAGCGTCGATCGCGACGAAACTTACAGTACCCTCGCATTGATCAATTTTACACCAACCCTGAAAATTGCATGACCCTGACCCAAATGACCTTTGACCTACTTTCCGAGACCATGTTTGGCCGGAATCGCGATTCGGCGTTTGTTGGCTAGAATTAGCCGCGCGTTTGAAAGCTTTTTGTGGTTTCAAACGTTCAAACATGTGATTTGATGTTGCTCCCATGCATTAGGGTGGATGTCAAGGTCTCCTGAAGGTCAGATAAGGTCATTGACCTTTGGTGACCTCGGTTCATTTTTTTCGTGTTTTACGTGTTTCTAGGCTAGTTTTTTTTTAGCTGAATTCGAATTTAGCAACCATATGAATATTTACGAAGTAGTTTTGGTGCCTTCGTAACATGTTACCAAGCTGTCAGAGGCGGTTGACACGTACTACGAATTCCCGTCACGGTACTGGTTGACCTGACCTGACCTGACCCGACTGGTCTAAATGCTTAACCCTATTCCTGGCGGGCTCCGCCGGGACAAGAAACTGGCGGGGGGGGGCCGATTCGGCCCCCCCCCCCTGAGATCTCGAGAACGAAGCAAGATAGCGACAAGCGGTAAACGGCATCGGATACGCACGGCCAAGATCTACAATTTTTACTAAGGTCATTTTCAGGTCAGGTCAAAGATGACGTCACAGGGGTCGAAAAAGTCAAAATGGCGGCACTAGATATGGAGAGAGTTTTTCTCGAATAACTTTCGAATTAGTCAAGATAGGAACAAACTAAGGGCATCATCGTGATCCTCTCGTCAATCCGCATCGAATGATATATATGTTGACCTCGAAAGGTCAAGGTCAAAGGTTGACCTCAGGTCACGTGACCTCGAGGTCATCATGTATATCATTCGATGCGTCTTGACGAGCTGAACACAATGAGACCATCCACGCGTCTGTATCTTGTTCCTGTACGGAGTTATTGGCCAAAAACCTTTGGTGACCTTTGATGACGTCACATGACCTCACAGCTGCCCAACAGCAAAACAGACCTCAAGGTAGTGAAGGTTGATCGTATATGAAGTCATGTATGGTATATGGGGCCATTCCGACCCGTTTTAGTGGTAAAAACAGGGAGTTGATTTTTCCCCCATTGACTTATAATGGGGAGGTCGCGAAATTGACCTGACCTTAGGTCACCGATATCAAAATTCCGAGATATACAAATTGCACATACTGGTACCCTAACTAAACCCTGAAGAGAAGAAATTGATCGGTCAAAAACTCTAGCTCTGGCGTGATTGCAAACTTTTCTGAGGTAGCGTCACCAAACCGCCTCTGGTGACCTGACCTGAGGTCAGATCAACTCAAAATTTTCAGACATGTTGCGTAGAAGCCTTTTAGGAAAAGTCAGAAAATTTGAGCTTCCTAGCTCAACGCGTTTGGGAGATATAACCAAAAAACCTCAGGGGGGGGCTCCTGAGGCCCCCCCCCCGCCAGGAATAGGGTTAAAGACATCATCTGTGACCAAAACTAACACGATATTCGTGATCAGCACCCAGCAAAACCCCCAAAGCAGCCGCCAGCCACACTTTACGACTTTCTAACAGGTGCGGATTTTCCCGACTTTGAGGTCATTGACCTGACCTGGAAGGTCAGCCGATGACCTAGGACCTTAAAACTGGGTATCATCGGCTTCCTCTCGTGACGGGCAGCACGCTCGTTTTTTTTTGCGAAGCTCTAGCTCGATCAGAGGCAAATACGAGGGGGTTCCCCCTTGTGCCGTGGAAAGAGGCAAAATGGCCTGTGGCGGCGAGGGTTAGGAACATCGTAATGCGAATAACCGTTATGTTTATTCTCATTGTGCATTTTTTTTCTACGTTTAGTGGAAAATAAGTCATGTAAATAAATCTACATTAATTGAGCTAGTAGAACCCGAACGTTCTAGTTAGTTTCTAGTTAGTAGTGAGTAAAATTCTACTTAGTGGAACATTCTAGTTTTCCATATCAAATAATTTTACCGAACAACAAACCACTGCACTGACAGCCAAAGACCGCTGTCAAACATCACTGACCTTGTCGAATATTTCGTCCTCGCCGTTCACCCAGACCGGCTCGGCCTGTGTCCGGTCCTTTTTCTTGCCCTTGCCCTTGGGCCGGTGCAGCTTGGAGATCAGCACAAAGTGCGAGAACTTGAACGGCATGCTCTTCTTGGCCGCTTCCTCGATCTCATCCCTGCGTGAACACGGTACAATGAACTGTGTGCAGTGTCCTTCGCTATAGCGATACACAATAGCACAATCATGATCCGACATTCATTACATAAACCATTTAGTTATGAAAAACCAATGATTGGCGTAAAAGTGTTCGCAATTTCACAGTGTCAATGTGCAGAACAAGGCCGCTTATCGGACAAAGCTAAGTTTGACGCCATTCAGTTCAAAGCTACAGCAACGCCGCATCGCACGCCATCGAGGGATATCCGCCTACTATGGACGTCAAACCCCTTGAGACCCCACTTTTTTTGCGATAATTTTGAAATACGTGAACTGTCGTTGACAATATTCTGGCAATGTGTGTTTCAGAACCTGCCGAAACTTTTATTACTAAGGTATTTTGACGCCAAACGATTATGAAAGGTACTTCTCATTCACTCGTAATGTTAAATTTCACGGAACGAATCTCCTGTTTGGGTAAAGGCTACGCGCTCGTGGGGCAGAGCCACGTAATGACGTCAGCGCTAAGCTCCGCCCTACCCCTCCGGCGCTCCTTGCCCGGCGACCGGTCACTCGCGTCTCGCGCTCCATCCAGGCTTGATGGTGGGCGGTAGCTGGTAGCGGTAGCGGGCGCTGGTAGATGACATTAAGAGCAGATGGCGCTGGTGGCGGGGCTCGAGTATGGCCGAACGCAAGCCTCTGCCCGGGCCTGAATTGACCTTAGCATTACGAGTGAATGAGAAGTACCTTTCATAATCGTTTGGCGTCAAAATACCTTTGTAAAAAAAAGTTTCAGCAGGTTCTGAAACACACATTGCCAGAATATCGTTAACGAGAGTTCACGCATTTAAAAATTATCGCAATAAAGTGGGGTCTCAAGGGGTTTGACGTCCATAGTAGTGTGGGGGCGTCCGTCAGCCTATCTGTGGCCTCAGCGATGTCATCAGCCCACCTGTGACCTTGGGTCATCAACCCACCTGAGCGAGGTCAGCAGCGGCACGCAGATCTGCAGCGGGATGTTGACGAAGCGCTCGTTGAGCAGCAGCGCCGTGTGCTCGGTGGTCGAGGAGAGCGCTGCCTCCAGCTTCAGCTGAACGTCGCGCGCCGCGCCGGCCGACTTACAGCGCGACAGGAGCGTCTGCTTCAGCTCCTTCACCGCGTCCGTCTCCTGAAAACCCACGGCGGGTCACAGCGCGAACCACAGCGTCATGTAGCCGTCTCATCGCACACGGCAGTCAGACGGTACACGGCGGACACACCGGCCTATAGGTCCGATGCTGTTGGTGGAACCTTACCCGCCGCTCGGTGAGGTTGATGACGGTGGTGACGCCGTACACCTCCTTGTCGCTGTCGGCATCCATGGCGTCATCGTCGTCATCGTCAGCGTCCGGCCCCTCGGGGTCACATTGCTGCGAGACAGATACCGACGCAATCGTCAGCCAGGGATCTATGCGATTTAGTTAGGCCCATAATGGGACAAATAAATGCCCGAACTATGAAATTAATGGCCACTTGCTCTAACCTTCAAGCAAGAAAATCTCAAAGAATAAATGCAGTTCAAAATTCAAACACTTCTAGAAAACTACACATAGATATAATTACATGAAGAAGACAATATTTAGTGAATCAAATAGCTGCAACCTTACAAAAATTAAATTCACTGTGATAAAACAAAATTACCTATCTGTGACACAAACATACCTTTAGCACGCTGCCAACTTGATTCTGAGCGATGATGATGTCCGCCAACTGGCCCCAATTGACGTGGGCACGGGGCAGCAGAGGCAGCAGCAGCTGGCGAATGCCATGATAGTCTGAGTGGGTTGGACATCGGCCTTCAAAATCCACCATCACCTGCCATAACAGAGCATCGTGTCATTATTACAAAAATATTGAAGTGAGATTTGAAGCACTGGTTTCTGAACTATTCGTTACAACTGCCCTTTGCACTCTCTAAAAACTAGAGAAATTCACAAAATAAGAACATGAAAGGAAAGAACGCATTGATCTAAGCTTGTAAGCAACACCACTCATTGATATTACCAATGCTTTTTACACAATACATTTATAACTTACACCCGACCACCTGTTGAGTCAGGCAAGGTTAGGGTACCGTAGGTAAGGTTGGGTCAGGTTAGGTTAGGCTTGGGCATTCAGGCTTGTAGTGTAACTGTTTTTTTTTTAAAGTAAATGATCATATGAACAATTTTCTATGTTGATATAACTATGATTTGTGACAGTATGGTGTGGTTTTTATTCAATTTTGATTTTGAGCATAGGGTGTTGGGCCACACTGCAAAACGTGGCAGGTTTCGATGAGATCTCGGGCGTGACCAGGGCATCCACTAGCCTTCCTCAGATGCGCAATAGGGTCTTGACTCTTGAGGCATGCATTACAAATCTCAGGCGTGCAAGGCATGGCCCAGGCGCGCAGGCATGCAATCATGGCCTCTGTTCCTGCATGTTCCTGCACCCGACTCAGACTCGGGACAGTAATCGCCACGCCATGTGTGGATCACCCACGATCGTAAATACAATACAATATACAATACAATACAACGAATCAGGGCGTACATGCCTGGAAAGCTCTCACTCGAAGCTTGCTTATGAAACAAACGTGAAATGCGCGGACAGATGTCTACGCAACTACTGCACATTTGTGAGAGTCTCATCGTTGATCATTGTTATTCAATGTGCGAGTGAGACAGAATGATCCCGGCGTTTTCACTGCGGCTGGCACTTGGGCTGACATATACGGGAGACGAGCCGAGAAACCTCTGTCGGACGGCGGACCTCGGCACGGTCAGACTCTCTCCCAACCGCTCGCTCGGTCTGGACCCTTAATCGAGATAGCGCCTCTCGGAAAAAAACAGCGTATTGCTCAGTCAATAGGAAGCGAATCGTATTGCTCAGTCAAGAGGAAGCAGCTGATAGCCGATATTGAATTCTTAGATCATTGGCTGACCTTCCAAGTTCTGGGTACGGGGTCAGGTCAATGACCAATTGGCCAGGAAAATCAAGACCTGATAGATTTTCTTGAAGTGATGCAGATGAGTCTTCCCCTCTCTGGAGTATTTTGGGGTCCTGATTCTGATTTGCACACAAGTTTAATTATGCATGATAATGCATAATGCATGTGGGTACGGTATTTGAGCCAGTTCAGGTCAACCAGCATTTGTCCTAACTCCTATGAGTTGTTCTTGGCCAGTATTTACCATCAATGATGCCTCCATCACATTTTACTTAGTTTCTATCCAAAATCCTCAAATGCTAAATTCATTATCATTATCAGCTCTAGCATTTCATTAACTATAGTTGTTTGTTTTTCCAAATGGTGTTTGGCTCCAAGGTGCATTATCAAAGCTCTTATGTGAGTTTTGGCAGGTTCAGCATCTCGCTAAGAATTTCTTACTGTAAAAATGATCGATTTCAAATTGTGCTCAGTAAATACCTAGAAATTGTGTTTTCAAAAATGAGCACACTATGATGACGTCACTGGTGGCAGCTGGCGCCCAATGTCCGTAAGAAAGCATTATTTGCCAACAAATTTTGGGGAAACTTCGTTTTTCACTGTTACCAAGGCCCGAGTCGAGTAAGTGGTTCTTTCCATGATGAATATACATTTCATTGCAGTGCAAGTTCCACAGCATGACGTCAACACTGTTCTCATGTCTAGTTCCAAAACGTCGTATGGAACTTATCAGGAATAATTCACCTGTAAAATGAGGCGATGTTCGAGTTTCTCAGGTTCAGTTTTAGCCGGTTCGCTGGCTAAAACACATGCTGAAACACATTGAAAACATACTTGGAGCCGAACGGCAAACACCTTTTGAAAAAACGAACTTTTTTAAAACAAAAGTCAACCAAGGCCACAAAGTGCCAACCAAGTATGAGTCAGTCAGGAGCATTGGAACCCTGCCCCCAATCTAAGTGTGATGGTTAGCCATTAGCTAGGTAGGTAATCTGCAAAAGACATCGCTGAGCTGACTAACTTGGGGTTTAAATGTGTTGGTGTCGCTAGATGCTCACTGACACTTTCAATGCTGTCTGGTTAGTCTCACTACAATGTTCAATATCATTGTGCTTGTGTGGGGCATGTAAATATATTCCTGCCCGGGGCCGGGATGGTTCAATAAATGTCACCGAGGTTTTTTAGTGAAAACTCCGAGCAGTGGCGTATCTAGGATTTCTCTCAGGGGGGGTCCGCAGTCAAAAGGGCCCTTGACTGACTGGGTTGAAAGGGCCCTTAAGTGGCAAAAGGGCCCTTGAAGCCTGAGTTGAAAGGGCGTTAGCCCGCGCCCCGTAAGGGGGGGGGGGCGAAACGGCCCCCTGTCCTCTTCCGTAGCTATCTCCTAAATGACTGCAGATATCGCCACCAAACTTTCAGGACCTCTCCGGGCATCCATTTTACACATTGTGACCTTTTTCCAGAGGCTATGATAGGTTGGCCGCAAATACGTCAGAATGACGTCATGTTCTGCCATTTTCGACCCAAAAAAGGTTTCGCAGGAAGAGCTATCAGGCCTACAGAGCTGTAGGAACATGAAAATGTTCCGATATAAAAAGTGTACAATTAACAGGCTTAGGTCAAATCTGAGCACAGTTTACAGAAAGTGCGTTAAAATAGCTTTGTTTGTTTTGTTGGGTTGGACCCAGGCCCTTTCGGCTTTCGGTCTGACAGGCCATTTCAGGGCCGGAGGGATGATAGGAATTGAGGGAGACATTGGTCTGGGCGGGCACCTTGGTGACTCACTGGGGCTGAGCCTGTCCAACAGGACAGGCCGACCAGCCTCCCAAGTGCTCACTACACCCGGTTATGAGTGTGCTTCCTTAGGAGCTGCAGTGCACTCCAATGGGAGCCGCCCGCATGGAATAAAGTTGCCCGTCCAGGTCCAGCCCGGATCAGGGGTTGCGGCATGGAGGAGAAGAATTTGAATGTCCTGAGGATGGAAACGGTGAAAGGGGTGTTAAAAGAGCTGTTAACTACGCTTTTCCCCGGTACTGTAGCTCTATTCATTTCCGAATCATGCGGTGGTTTGTTGAAAATTGTCGAAATTGGACCTGAAAATTGGCGAAATTTAACCTTGGATGACCTATGTGAACTGAATTTTGAACTGATCTAAAAAGTGACAGGCGTAATTTCGTCATTATTGTTTGCTTGCGTCCCTTCGAACACTGCCTTAGGCGTGTTGGTACGTGGCTCAGAAGCCGAGTTATAGATGCAGGGGTGCGGAGCCGGAGCTGGAGCCGGAGGAGCCGCCGGTGCCGGCATATTTTCCCTGGAGCCGGAGCCGGAGCCGGAGCCGTGAAACAATATAGCCCGGAGCCGGAGCCGGAGCGGTAAAAAAGGCGGCGACTCCGGCTGTTTTTTTTTTTTTTTTTTTTGAAGAGGAAAACATTATTGACCTAGTTCGGTTTCACAGTGCCTGCAAGGCAGTAAAATATGTGGTATAATTCAAAAAAGCCTTGTTATGCAAATACAGAAACAACGTGAACCAATCCTTCATCTTTTCTTTTCCACCCGTATTTATTTGTATAAAGGATGAACTGAGTACTGGAGTCGAAGCCGGAGCCGGAGCCGGAGCCGAAGCCGATTTTTTTTTCTCCGGAGCCGGAGCCGGAGCCGTCTGAAATTTCCACGCCTCCGCATCCCTGGTTAGAAGGACCCTGGCCGGGCGGGGGGGGGGGGCGTGGGTGCCACCACATCGTTTTTTTTTGCGACAGCTCGGAACACGTCGGCAGGCAACAGAGAGCCAAAACTGGGCATAGCTACCTGACCTTTGATGCAAACCGGGCCTTGTGACGCCCGCATTTTCACGGAGGGCCTCTGGTCGTCTTAAGGACCCTCTGTTACCCTCAGAGGGACCTTCTGATGGCCTCTGAAGACCATCACTGGCCTCAAAGGGTCCTCTAGTGGCCTCCATGGACCTTCTGGGTACCTGAAAGGTCCCTCTGTTTTCTCTCCAGGGGCCCTTTTTACCTCAAAAGGTTCTCTTTTACTTCAAATGACCGTATGTTGGTCTAATACATGAGGCCCCTAGTGGCCTAAAATAGCCCTCATATCATCTAAGGTGACCCCCTGTTTGCCTTAGAAAAGAGGTCCCTCCGGGTACCTGAGAGGCCCTATTTGTGTCCCAAAGGGTCCTTTGCTGGCCTCATAAGGCCCCTAGTTGACCTAAAAAGTCCTCTGATTGTCCAAGGGCCCTCTGTTCGCCTCAGAGGGCCAGCTTTTTCCTCAGAGTGCCTGATGACCTCATAGAGCCCATAGTGGCCTGACATAGCCTTCATATCACCTCAGAGGGCCCTCTGTTGTAAGGCTCAAGTGGCCTTCTCAGAGGGCTCCGACTGCCCTGTGACTGACAATTGTCCACTCTTATCCCTCTTTTGGGTGACCTTTTCCCCCTCTGACACCCAAGCCAAAATACGATTTTGGGACACTGACTCCGAGGGCCAGTTGATTTTCAGAGGGCCCTCTTTGAGGTGGATGTTAGGGCCCTCTGTTCGCCTCAGAGGGCCCTCTGGTGGATTTAGACTTCAGAGGATCCTATTTTGGCATCAGAGGGCGCCTCTCTGTGGCATCAGAGGGCCCTCGGAGGCCTCAAATGGCCCTATTACATCTCAGAGAGCTGCCTTTGACCTCAGAGGGATCTTTTTTACTTCTTTGTGGTGTCTAAGGGGGCCCTCTGGCCTTTGTTCGCCTCAATGAGCCTTAAGGGGTACTCCGATGACTTCCAAGGACCCTCTTTGATCTCAGAGGGCCTAAACCTCATAGGGCTCATGGTGGTCTGACATAGCCTCATATCACCTCAGAAGGCCCTCCAGTGGCCTCAGAGGACACTTTATGACCTTTGAAG